GCCTTTCGTGCTCCGAAACGACCGCAACACCTCCTCAGAATGACGTGTGTAGTCGAACCACATTGATATTAAATTGTAAGTTAAAACAATGTTCCTTTTTTTCGTTTTGAGGATGAAAACAAGATAAAGGGCTTTTCTTTTTCCTCGGTTTTTTGTTATTATTGAAAAACAAGAAAGGAATGGTTTTTTGTTTGGGTTTTTTAAAAAAACATTCATTGAAAAACAAGAAAGGAATGATTTTTCGTTTGTTTTTTTTTAAAGAAAAGGAGAACAGTTGGGTTTTTTACATGTTCGTTTTCAAGTCGAAAACAGAATGAGAAACATGCACAGACCATTCAGGTATAAGTTCTGTTCATTACGGATTCATACGAGAATAAATATGTGCTTGGTCGATCTTAAACGTACGTTTAAGACCAACTCTTCTGAGCCGGTCTGAAACGTTAGACCGACCAAGCAGATACGCTTTCCCATTCATAAATACCTTTTTTAAAGTCAGAGAGTCTAAGAAGTCAATATATGGTACATTTCTAGAATTTTACTTTCATTTTCCAGAACACCCCCGTCCATTTTATGGTATATTCCTTGAGCAAGTTATCCAGAAGATTCTCCATATATGGACTTAGTGGGCGTGGCGCATTCTGCGTACCTCGTGGCTCACAGACTCCGGTTCGTAAGTGACTTCGTCATACACGCGGATGCGCCACGATTTGCAGGGTCCTGTTTGACGATCGCTGAAGTTACACGTTCACTTTCGGTTCCATGGTTCCTTTCAACCGGTGATCAACCACGTAACTCTGTGTGCAGTGCATGTGCAGGGGGCATATGGTTTTACTGAAGTGACGTCACACTTACGAACCGGATGGGAATAAATTTAATATTGACAAAAATATATACAGTCAGTGCTCTTAATTTATCTGTTGCCGAGCTTTCGATAACAGTGTGCCTTCGTCAGGGCAAACTGTCTCGTATCCAGGTGCCAGGCCGTTTTTTTACGCATTATGAATGTTATCCTACCTCTATCCTGGATACTGTCTGTTCAATGGCCCAGAACGATCACACGACAGGGTTCACCTTGAAGCATCTTATATTCTGCCGATAGCACGCGCACGAGACAAGCTAGTGAAGGAACGTGCACGCAGCCCATGGAGTCGGGTTGCGTCTGAACTTCTGAAATCCAGAGATCGTTTCTTTGGATAATATCCATAAGACAGAGATATCGTAACGCAATGTTTGCCGTGGTGCATTGTGGGTGAAACTGGCGTGGGGACGACAGTCGCGCGCACTGCTATAAGTATTACTGGAGTAAAACTCCAAACCAGGGGCTTTGAATTCAAATTTAAATTGGAAAGTTCATCTTATAAATCTGTCCAAATCATTCAAAACAGTCGTCACTGGCTCTATAGACTATTTCGAAAAGGGGGGCCTCTCAATAGGTCTCTCAATCTATTTGAAGTAAAGTTATGGCCGTGTCCGAAACGGGCTTCCAGAGCTACGGCTAGGTCTATCGTCTACGCGTCTCCACGCATTTCTAATGGAGTGAAGACCTAGACCTAGCTCTAGACAAGAGATTCGCATGCAGCCTATGGCACATTTTGTCTTCCTGTGACACAGTTTAGATAATTAAGGAGGTATGCACGTGACAGCCCACAAGTGCATGATCGATGGTGTCTACCCGTCCGTCCCCCATCCACTCATTTACAAAAACGGTTTCCTGGTGCTCCCTGGCCTAAAAAACCTATACTACAGTGACCCCCATTTCAAGAAAAGAAACTGGCCGTTGCAATTATAAATTTATTTTGTTCTTGTAATGCATTTTTTTTTTTTACTTTGAGTGTGGAACATAATTATGCCTAAACCATGCAGGCGAACGGTCATTGGCATACACGTGTATTTACGTTTTCCACCCATCTGTGCAGGACAAGATCATCCACTAGTTCCACGTGAGGAATTCAGCCAACTTTCGATGGAGTGGATCTCAACTGGAACTATCATTCGTTTTCACGCGGATAAGATCACCGCAGGGCAACATGTCCTGAATTGCAACCTACCGTATCTAAGAAAGACTGAGCAGTTGCGATACAACGTAAATGTCACTTTACAAATTAATGGTAGGTGGACATCCAACCAACGGCGTTTGAGCGTGAACGCTAGCACAAAGCAAAAAAAAAAAAAGTTTTAATCTTTACCCTCCCATTTCCAAAACTTTCGGAAGTAACCGAAACCTATTTTTGAAGCTGGTAGTTGATTTCTGCAGGAAGTGCACTATAGCTGTTCAAAAATGTCTGCATTGATAAAAACGCCTATTTGCTCTAAGTTTCTGTTATGCCCCACAATTCTAAAAGGGTGTTCTAAAGTTTTCTTCTCTTACTAACATTTTTGATAGGCATCAGCTGAAACCCACACACAGACAAGGAAATATACCCCTACTATATGCTGCTGCGCGCGTACTGCTGCAAGTAACAAGGGACAGGCATCCTTGACATTACGTCATAGGTTGTTTTGGCCCTTGGTGCTTACCTGACGTAACGTGGGATAGTTAGGGCAGGGACCTAGACTAACTTGCATTGCGGTACCGATATCGTAGCCTGTTAGTCGGACTCTATGCCTTCCGCCCACGAAAATGCGGCACACAATATGCCTCAGTTTAAACGAATTGACGACCGTTGGAAAGACTTCAGTTGTAAGAACATGTGTGCAAACCAAATTTGTAGGATTGCAAAACCAACCAACAACCAACCAACCAACCAACCAACCAACCAACCAACCAACCAACAAACAAACAAACAAACAAACAAACAAACAAACAAACAAACAAACAAACAAACAAACAAACCAACAAACAAACAAACAAACAACCCCAACGCCCCAACAAACAAACAAACAAACAAACAAACAAACAAACAAACAAACACCCAATTTATTCAAAACTAATGCCCTTGCATGTTTGCCTCGTGCAGCGTGCAAGAAAATGTTTAGACTGCATTTTGACTTTTGACCACGTCTCGTCATAATGCATATTCTCACTCTCTTGGAAAAAGAGCCAATATTAGATCAATTTCCTCCCAAAAGTGTGTCATACATATATTGTGGAATTCTTCTCTTTTCTGTATCTACTGACAATTATATTTGACTAGGTTGACTTACTAAAGCTGCAGGAAATTGCCTCTGGTGCGAAGAAAAATTAAACGATCTCGAAACGATGTAAAATCAATGTAGATTCTTACCATGGCAACACAATCTCAGATCCTTGAGCGGGGCTGCTCTTTATAAGATGCTACCGTCATGAAATTGGCACATGCGACTGCAGTTATGGCTGTGCACTCACCGATCTGGCTGGGATCATTATGGCGCCATAAGGACAGAATGGCTTGAGATAACCACAAAAAGCCTTCGTTGGAACGACACTTTTCCTTTAAGGCCCGTGTCATTTGCGAAGTCCTGCCGCTCCCCTTTAAGTAAACCTAGCAAAAAGTGCTGGGGATACACCCTGCCACCGTCAATCGTCCGGGGGCATTTATTTATATATGAGAGCGGTCATGGGAGAAGAACAAACGCCCCTCATTCAACTGGGTACATTTTGGGCGATTCATATAGCTCAGCCATTGCCTTCCCAAAATAATGTCCCGTGTGTAGTTACACGTACTGGTATTTTCAGAGTTTCCTCGTTTGATGCTCAACTTGTTAATTTGCAGGTTGTCCATCGGGCAGATATGGCGGGAGCTGTGAGCAAAGTTGCTACTGCGCCGAAGGAGTGGAGTGCCACAGTTTCAATGGTGTGTGCATGTGTCCACTTGGACTGCAAGGGACTTCGTGTGACCAGTGTAAGGCAGTGTTTACTGTGGCTTATATGACATGTTATATATGTTATATGACATGACGCATGATTGTTGTACATGCACACATAATACTTTGGTAAGCCACACCTACTAGCATAAGGTCATCAGCTCTGTGGTGTAATTGAGCACAGGATGCTCTGCTGACAGAACCTCAAACTATTACATAGAAACTATACACTCGAAATATGTTAATAAGTTCAAATGCAGCATCAACTGAAATCAAGGTTTTGACGATATCTCTTAACGAAATATTTACATATATATGTATCTGCATTGCCCTTTTTGGTCCCTTCGGTGATTTGTTTTTCTGCTTTTGTTTCTTCGATAAAGAAATTTTATATTTTATCTAGTGTTATGTTGAGTTCATCACACGTAACTGCAATGTCTAGTCTTATTTTAAGTCAGGTAACGAGAATAAATGAACTTTGACAAAAATTCCTTTGGCATTGTCACTTGACCGATCTTGTTCGCTGTGAAGTGGATATACATTCATGGATTCGCATTCTGGACTTGTGTAAATTTCAAAACTTGTTTCAACTCGAAGGTAAGCCAGTGATCACTGTACAGACGCACCACATATTCGTCCCCTACGGAGAGACATTCACTCTGACGTGCACGGTGCACGGAATGCCATCACTTCAAGCGAGCTCGTGGACCAAAGAGGGGCAGACTACGCCCCTGCTGGCTACCTCCAGTGTGGAGACGACTCCGTATTCTCCGAGGTAATAGCATCGATTGTTTTTTCTCTTTTCGAATGCTCGCAGGTTTTTGTTCGACCATATCCCCAGGCTTATTCGAAACCCCATCCGTGTGTCAGAAGAAAATGAAAACATGCTTCTTTTTCAATGCCTCAAAACGCAGCTGTACTGCCGAACTGAGCGAAACCGAACCGATTAGTACTGTGTCTACCTCGGTAGATTAAATGTCGTTTTTTTCGAATTTTTACAACTGTATACAAGAATATTTACAAATAGGTCATTTAGGAGACATTTTGTGGTAAACTTTTCAGCATTAGGGAGACATTGGCTTTTAGAGAGACATCCCAGTGTCTCCCTATTTTCAAATTACCAGAAGGAGGCCGAATTTTACCGTCCATATTTTGAGAGATGATAGTTAAGAGCCTAAAATGAAAACATACAAAAATTGGTTCAGATCAGATCAGGGAATATTGAATTATGGGACAGTAAAGTTGGAAAAATTTTGTGCACGTTCTTATGGGAATGTCTCCCTAATGACCCAGTAGCGGTAAATAATAATTTATATTGTTATCACAAAATCATGAATGTTTATCCTTTCTTTTCCTTTGGTTCATAATAAAAATGTTCCAATTCTGTGTGTTACACTCCTCGCTATTTGTTTACATCTTTTCTCATTGATTTCCTGTTGCTAAGATGTCGGGTTTGAAAGATGATTTAATATCTTGCCGAAATTGTTGCGTAAAGTTTGTTTTATTCAACGCTCACTTCAACGAGTGCTGTCCTTAGCAGCGGAGGCTTTCTGGTCGCGTTTTTGCACTGCGCGACTTAACACACCTTTTTGCAGAGCGAGTCACAAATTCTCAGACATATTGACATATGGCGATGACAGATGACGCTGTCAAATCGTGGTGTTTACTGTAAAATCCTTGTTTTCGTTGGATGGTTAGATCAGATGAATTCACACGAACCCTTTGTGCGCAGAAGTTTAGCCGACACTTAAGAATTCATTACTACCTTGCAGCCGGTACACATGGAAGGACCCAACGTTGGGTCCGTGCACTCTCAGATGAAAACCTCTTGCGTATTTATTGCACGCCGTACTATGTGTTACAGACCTTATGTGGACGTACATTTGGTTTACCTGTACTTTGGAAAACTAAGAGAACATACGCATTTTCTACCATTGTGATCACTCTTCAAGCAATATTTCTTATACCATTCCTTGACTGTTACTCTTCATTTTGTGATAATATCGCTGACCTGAAACTGCCTCCAAAAATGTCTTTCATACCATGATCATCTTTAAATAGTTCTCTGATCCACGCGTGCTACGAAAAACAAATACGCACTGCGTTTAAAGCCAGTGTGGACCCACTGGGAGAACACAGCATCCCCTTGCGTTCGCGCTCTGACAGCATATTTAAGTTTAGTTTTCATCTGTTATTTATTGTTTCTCAAACAGTCCTGTTGCGATCACAAGTACCCTGAACGCACAAAATACATCTGTCAACGGCGCCTATGTGTGTGAGGTTATCGATGGAAACGGCACTGCATACAGACAGCTAGTGAATGTCACCGTCATAGGTAGTTCTCGGAAATTTTCAACGTCAAAAGCAACAATGCCGATAGGGCTTTCTCATTATTTGTGGTCCATCATCTTTGCTTTCAGGCCAGGTGCCAAATAATTAAAAGCTACATGCAGCTTCGAATTAACCAGCCGTATCTCGCCAAAGCACAACCATAATTGGACAGCAGCATCAAGGCCCAATGTCATTAATTAAAGGCAGTTCAGAATGTGTCTTATGACTGTAATGATCAGGATTGTGGTAGAGCCATATTTTGAGAGTTAAGACTCTTAAAAGATGTCCGATCCTGAGGTGAACTACAAATTGAAATGTTCCAACCTTAGCTTAAGCTTGCTGCTGTACTCTATTGAATTCCACAGCCATTCCCGACCCATTCGTGCAAGTTCCTCAGAACCAAACCGCCCTCGTTGGAAGCAACGTTACCTTTACGTGCGAAATCAGAAGCGATGCCGGGGTAATCCGATGGGTCAGAGGTCAGAAGCAGCTACCAAATGAAGCAGCTGCGATCAGCGACCTACCTGGCCGGTTCCAGATGGTACATCCCTCGGAAGGCGTTTCGATTCTTCGCATTTTGAGGTTGGAGTTTGATGACGAGGAGGTTTACAGGTGTTTTGCAGGGCATACTTTCCGGGCACCAGACTTGATGTATGCAGAGGCAAGGCTCGAAGTTCAGTGTGAGCAAGAAACTTCAAATTTCACAAACCTAATACGTGTATACGGCACCTTTCCTTTACTAAAGTGCTGTTACTGAGGGATTCGAGTGTGTTAATTTCAAATGTTAAAACTTAAATGGCTTTTTCAAAAGAGCTCTACCTGCAACACCCCAGCCATGGAGCATGATTCAGAAATGTTGATTTTTAGAACTGACGGTTAACCACAGACGGTCAGCATACCTCCATGAGGAACCTCACTTTGGTGTCATTTTTATAATGGGATGTGCACCTGAAACAGATACACCATTTACCAAAAAATACTGAGACTTGGAACCAGGAGTTATAATCACTTTAGTGCGTCAGAATTAAATCTTTCTTGAATTGAGTGATTTTCGATCATTTTTCAACCAGCTGAAGGGTCATGCCTCACTAGACCTAGATTCCCGGTCATTTTGATCTGAGTTTTTAGATTGAAGAACAGCATATTCACAATTTATCTTTTGCATAAAACCCCTACCAGCTGCTCCCTATCCTGGATGTTCCTTTAATGACGTCACCAACACTCGGTCGGGCAAGACACTGACTCTCCGGTGCCTGGTGATGCGAGCCAAGCCGGTACCTCGCCTGAACTGGAGAGTGCAAGGAAGACAACTGACGCCCACGACGTACACCATGCGCTCCGACGACGGTTCCTCCTGGAACATCAACACCTCCTTAACCTTTGTACCTGGGCCAGGTGATGATGGGAAGAGGGTGTCTCTCTCCCTAACCAGCCCAGCATGGACGGGAACCAGAGAAGTGGAGACATCACTGAATGTATCATGTAAGATTTTTTATAAAGGGTATTTTCATTGAGGTAATGTTAAGTGTCTGAAGTTACTCAGTCTGGAAAACGGAAACTGGGTTTCCTTGAAACATTACCTCGAGGACATGTGTCATGTATCAGTTTTCTTGTAATTGTAATTAAATCTAATGTTCTATGTTACTTTCCTACCTTTCCAATAACAACAAACTGCTCTAGGTTTTAGAATCAACGGAGGACAAGTCTAGACGAAAGGTTATATACATAAGAAGGTGGCTCAGTCATCTCAGTTGACCTTTGTGGGATTCAAATTAGGTTGACGGTCACTGCACACCAAGCGGGGTATACTGCATTTCTTTATGTCAACCCAGCTTTTGAAGTCTCATAGTTAACACATTGCGTTAAGATCTTGGATTTGGTAATCTTAAATACTCCATCTGTGTCTTCCTTCCCCTTATTTCCGCAGATGCGCCCATTGTGGCCGTCAGCCCTGATCCAGTTACGATTAACAAGGGCCAGGATGTCACCATCTTTTGCTCGGCCAAGGCCAACCCAGACCAGGTGGATGTTATGTGGACCATTAGATCCTCCAACAAGCCAGCAGCCAATGTATCCACCAGTCTTACATACACATTCAAGAATATTTACATGGAATATGACAATGCTAACTTGACATGCTCCGTCGGAAACACCATTGGCAAGACTGAAAAGACTGTGCAGATCAAAGTAATAGGTAAGCATTTTTCTGGGGAATGACCCCTTAAGCCAAAGATTTTTACCTGGATGTTTTGTGGTATGAAATATTAATCAAAGGGAACACCTAACATTTTCATTTGTAATTTGGGAGAGTTACCCGTCCTGAATTCTCAGTCTCAGTGTGCGGCGAACCGTTCTGTCCACAGATCCTAGTTTATCACCTATGTTTACTCATGCAAAAATACAGCCACTTTAGGCGTACTACCAATTACAGAAAATGGTGCTTATTAGCATCCACACTGAAAAGTCTTTGTTATCGTTTCACCAAACGACGGCCATTAACACTTTCGATGTTATTCTTAGTTCATAGTCCATTACTTCGGCCCAACTGGCGGCCATCCACAATCCCTTCAGGTTTTCCTCAAAAATTTGTTAAAACAATAGTGGTTCTTTTCTAGGATTTTGTGCAGAAGGATCCTCTCGTCGGCAACATTGTTTGCAAGTTTTTGTCTATACTGTATCACACAGACAGTAGTTTTTCCACGGGAGCCAAGATAGGTTTCAGTGTATCAGGAGCTGCGTGTCTTATGATGCTGCTCATTGCAAGTGTCGTCTCTCGTCGCTATCGCAAGGAAATCAAGCTCTGGTGGGCTCAAAAAGCCGGAACAGCTGAAGGTAATACGCAAGCTCAATAATAAATAAACTCTGCGTTTTATGTTCATTATAAATCTTTCCAGATTCACTGTATCGTTTTGTCTGTCTATCGTTTTGTTGCAGGGCACCTGAGCATGCCACTCTTATCCTGTCCCCATGAAAAGCCGCATGCTATTTTGCAATTAAAATACCAGCAGTAAAAACTTGTCTTTAGTAGTTAAATACTTACTCTGTGCATAGCTCAGAGAAGTTTTGTATCACTGATGATGAATACTGTCCATATACCTTTGTAACTTATGTAACGACTGCGTATGTTCCGTGTCACTGTAATGCGGGAGACCTACTCCTTGAACTCTTCCATTTGTCAACGCTGCCAATAATTAGCGTAAAACGCCACAAAACCTGTGAGACGCTAAAAATACCATAGTTTCGAAAAAGGCCGAAACGGAACACATTCACTGTGAAGGAATTCGTAGCCACACTTGACTCTTTATCGTCAGTGAGATGTTGGACTCCATAATTCACATCCACTTGTTTCTACCAGTCATCGTAACCAGCAAAGTCAAGAAGCTCAGCAGGCAAAAATGGCATGCTTAGGACAAGGTTCTCTCCCATCGCTATCCCCAAAACCATCGTCTCTAGGCCTAGCACAACGAGTTGAGGAAGCGTCTGAAGAACGAACATATAGAGCCACACTTAGCAATAACTGCATCATCAACATGGTGTGTTCAGATCTCAAGTCATATCCAAAGCGTTTCTGGAGCCTCATCTGAAGCATGCAAGCGTTGTGGCACCAAGGGTGTTGCCCCCCCCCCCGCGGCCCTGGTAGATCTACCTGCACAGGAAGTAAGGACAAGGCGAATGTCCTCAAAGACCAGTTTTGTTCAGTTTTGTGGTGGTCGTGCCGACACAGCCCCCTGGCCGTCCTGGGCCGACGTCAGCGAGCGGTCTAGTCTGAGGCAGCCAAGGGAGCAGGCCCATTTTGGGGCAGTCTACCGCCAGGTGCAGCAGGAGAGAAGCACAGGCGCGCACTGGGGTAAAGGACAGGTTGGGACACGGGGGCACAACAGGCACAAATGGACACGTCTGCCTGAGGTGACTCTGGTTTAATAACTGCTCACACCTCTCCTGGCGCTAATAAACATGCGACCTTCACAGGCCCCGGCAATCTTCTAAACAGATCTTGGCCCTATACAGGTCGTGATCCCTATACAGGTGTAAGCGACAAGCACAACTTGTTTTACATCCACCAAATTCCCCAGTAAGACTAACGCCCCGTGGATGGATTTCCCCGTATAAACTCGTCCCCAGATGATTTATATTAAGTCGAAAGATCCCCCAGTAAGTCGCTTACTTACGGGCACAGCCTGGTAATTCTCCCCGGTGGGAGCAGTAAAGAAAACTGTATGGCAACTCAACTGACCAGGACAGCGCTGGAACTACTGTGGCACATTGGACTGACAGCGAAGGAACTGACACACTTGGCGCGCGATTGCACTTACATATCTCGCGGGCTGCCAGCCTGGCGCCACCAGCCACAGCGCACGACGGACCCCGCCGACGTCACGGAATAAGCCCTGGGCCTAACTACGACGGCTCAGAATAAACACGCAAACTGCTATTGCTCCACATTATTCAACAAAGATGAAGACCTGTCTACAACCCGTCCTTGGCTCAAGTGCATTTCCTACCGTGGATCACACACATGTGGATGTCAATTGCATAATTAAGTTACTGAAGATGTAAATCCTTATAAATCCTTGTAAATCCTTACAAAGCCACAAGCCCAGATAACAGCTCTTACTCACAGACTTGGACCTGTTTTTACCATCTTGTACCAAGCCTCATTGGAGAGTTGGGATCTCCTGAAAGTATGGAAATGTGGAGACCAAAACAAACCAGCCAACTACGGACCTATCACATCTGCTGCTAACTACATGTACTATATAGCTTGTCTGTCACAGCTCCGTTATGCAGTGCTTCTAATCACACACTATCCTGTCTGCGTGACTTTCAACATGGCTTCCGTAAGGCCAAGTCTCATTTCTATCCCAGCTTATCACCACCACCAACGAAATTGCCCGCAACCTGAATAACGGTGTTCAAACTGACCTCATTCCTTTTTGACTTGTTGGAAGCATTCAATAAAGTCCATCATTATCACCCCTTCCACAAGTTGCGCTATTACAGCTTCAGTATTGGTATCAGCAACTTTCTGCAGGGCAGGTTTCAGAAAGTCGACGTCCTTTAGGGGTCATCGTCAAATCAATCACCTGTGTCATTTGGTTTGCTTCATTCCAGGGGTGTTTTTGGGTCCTGACCCCCTTCAATACTTGGCCTGCATCTATGATCTCCCAGGCTTTATTTCTTAGACTTCCATGCTAGGCTAGCTTTCAATTTTGTGAAATTTTTATGGTAATAATGTTATGGTAATAGTTTGTTCCTTGTAAACTGCTGGGCGTCAGTAGAAAACAGCCTGTGCTGAGGTGATTTAACCCAGGATAAACCAGAATGAATGAACAAATAAATAAACTGTTTTCTAATGACGGTGCTATCTATCGCATCATAAATAACACTGACGAAGCCAAATAGCTCCAGTTGGAACTTAACCATTTTGAAAGCTGTGGGAGAGGATATGGTTTATGCAGTTCTATCCAGAGAAACACAGAGTGCTCCGCATCACCAAACGTCGCAAGCCGGTCGAGTTCACGTACTCCGTATACAATTACCTTTTGGAAGCACGAAGTACCACCACGTTAATACCTAGGGATAGAATTAAAAGACAAATTGTCTTAGAAAGGATGATGCAGTAACCACCCATTAGAAGTGCTTGGCATCTTTTGGCGCAACTCGACCAACTTCCTGGTGAAGTCAAGGCCCGCTGCATAGGCATACTACCTTCGAGCGGTCCATTGTAGAGTATGCCGGCTGCGCGAGGGATTCCTCAATGTCATCGAAGTTGAATTAGTACAGAGTACAGCTGCCCGATACATTATTAATGACTACTCCAGAGATAGCGTCAACGTTGGGCAGAGCAACCTTGGTTGGGAGCCTCTCCAACACTGATGAGCCATTTCCACATATACAGGCCTACGGACGGTGTATAGAAGGAAGGAGCCACGTTCATTGACATCCCTGATAACCAGCTTATCGACCTGTGTGCAAGTGCCATAGCGAACAGCCACAAGTTCTACATCCCAACCACTCGTACGACCTTACTAAAGGACTCCTTCCTCCTTTTCACCATCCGCCTGTGGATGTTATGGGTATCAAGCTGATGATGAGCCACCCAACCCTGGATATCTTCAAACCCAGGGTGACATGTGCCATATCCTATCCCACAACAACGTCTAGTATTTCACTTGTACACATATGGCTATATTCTTCATTACGATCTGTCCACACCTGCTAGTTAGCATCTCAACCAATATGCGAGTGTAGGTTTCTGTACGGTACAGGAAAATGACGATGATGATGATTGCCAGGTTAGCAAATCTATTTGCAACCGTATGGGCACCCTGGGAGTTTAACTTAAGTAGCACCTTCACGCCTGCCAAATTCAGTCACTAAAGTTTACCGGCAAGACGAAGTTACATCAAATTACCTTGCTTTGGGACACCAAAACCATGAGTCTGTCTCCCTTCAAAACCAAAGCAGGTAGTACAGGGCAATCCTGCCACTGCATTTCCAATGAGAGTGTGAATGCATAGCACGTACGTCATAAATGTAACTTATTGTGACGCTTTTGTTGAACAAAAACAGTTATGGCTTCCACTTTTTGTTAATCTTGAAGACAAAGAATTCGATGTGTTCATCTCCTACAAGAGCAGCAGCCCTGACGAGGAGTTCGTGGTGCGGGACCTGATCCCTCGACTGGAGCAGGCTGGATACCGTGTTTGCGTCCATTACAGATACTTCCTGCCGGGCAGAAGTGAGTCTTGATCAAATGACACATCCAACCCGACGGGTGGGGGGGTAGACAGCTGTCTATCATACAGCTGACTGTATGAAAGTATCTTGAAAGTATCGCACGCGGCATGATCCACGAGCAGAAGGGTTTAAGAGGACCCAGTTGTGGAGTTCTCTTCCCCTTAGTGTAAGCCTTCACACATAGTGGTTAAAGCACACACTACAAACACCTAACAAAAGAAACACAGTGCACTAACAATAAGCGTCCATTGTTATTGCACCCTGCTTCTTTTGTTAGATGTTCATAGTAACACCTAGTTAGTGGAAAATTATTTCAACTTGATCAGGGACATTTTGTCGGCAGCTTATTCTTGATTTCTTTACAGACTTTGTAAGCTTTGCTTCATCAACTGACTCCTCATTATAGGTATCATTGACAACATCGCGGATGCCGTCCATCGTAGCTGTAAGACACTCCTCCTATTGTCTCCAGGTTTCATCGAAAGCGAGTGGTGCTGCTATGAGTTCCAGGCTGCTCTCTCCCAGATGTTACACCTCCAGTCGGACCTCATACCTGTAATCTTTGAGGACCTGGGACCCAAGGAGAATCTGTCCCCAGATCTGCAGACGATGCTGAGGACACTGTCCTACGTCATCTGGCCCGGTGCCATCCAGCAGGGCTGCTACCAGACCGAGGCTGACCTGGAACGCTTCTGGAAGCTGCTGTGGCAGTCGCTCCCACCAATCCCTCCCGGACGAGACGAGCAGGCGGTTGGTACCGAGTTGGAGTTGGAGCCCAATCCAGGACAACTAGCAAGATTTGAAGACAAAGACGGGAACGGAGACAGACGTTTGATATTGCCTTAACAAGGCATTGCTGAAGACTTGGCTATACTTAATTGTTGGGAACTTGCCATGTGGGCACAACACGTTTCTTCAACAATGAATCCGCCCCGAGTTGAAGTGCGCCTCCAAGCGGCAAAAGAAAGAGAGAGGGCTGTAAGTTTTCCAAGCGGCTTCTTGCACGAGCTATGCGTGTACAGAAAGACCATACCTTCTGGAATAAATTTGTTACACGTACTCGGCGTGCTCCTCGTCAAACGCGCCACTGATCTCTATTATAAACGCGTGCCTCTGCGGTGAGTACGACCCCCCCCAAAAAAAACCCCAAAAAACAAAACAAAAAACCATGCCCTCTTTTGTTCCGCTCGGAGCGGATACTGAGTTGAAATGGTTGGAATGATGTAACGTTTAAACAACGTCGTGTGCCTCGTACATGATTACCCTGCAAAAGTTGTACATGTATGTAACATCAATCTTGCCGTGCAAAGATACATGAGACAGGTATCAGGATTGCTTTTAGTGGTTTACTGGTTCATTTTCCCCCATTCATCTCAAGTTCGGTAATAATGAGGCATCTTAATACTAGTGATGAATGATGGAGCTGAGGCTGACAGAAAGCAGTTGCTTGTACAGTGTTAAAGAAAAAAGCAAAGTAACCAAGGAAACCGGGACAGAAGATTATTAAAATTAATTATAGTATCAACAAAAACAGCTATAGATTTAAATACGTGTAAACAATGGCAAGAATAAATATTTATGCAATTAATTATTTAGTTAACTAATTTGCAAAACTGTGTAATATTTATACACGAGGTTTTCACTTTTTGTTATACTAAAATTAGTGTCAACTAGTTTGGACGAATTTCGTCAGGCCTATATCTCGTGGACAAGTAGTATATTTAATTTAATGAAAAAGGGGAAGGTGCACGGCTGTAGATTTGAATGATGTATTGCCTAAAGAGATTTCTTTTGCATAGCATAAGGTTTGTTTAGGTAAGACAAGTTCTATAGCCCCACACCAGAATGCCATATTGCATAGTGAAGACAACAAATAGGCAGAGCAGGGCATCCCTTGGTAATACCTATTTCAGCTTCTTGAGTATACCAAGAGCATGAGAGATATATGAATCTTTTGGCAATGATCTTTCCAACACAGTTTCTTGTCAAAAAATTACAATTGGCCTGGTTGATTTGGGTATTATTGTTGAAAATGCTAGGATTTTCTTCCGGGTTCGTATTTGAAAAAAATTGCACAACAACTTGTCCTTTAGTAGGTTGACTGATAATCTTTTACAGACAGTAATGTACGCCTGTACCGTGCCACGACGCACGCGCGACAAGTGATGGGAAAAATGGTAATCCTACTTTTCCTGGGAGTCCTCTGCATCATTATTTGTGATTATAGTCTGATGTACAGTTTACTGGTAGATATAAATCAGCACCACAGCATGTTAGATAAAACTGGAACACATTGAATAGAGTACATGCACGCATGTATAAGTGCAGTGTGAGAAAATAGTTTGTGTGTCCGTTGGTGCGTCAGACTAGCTGTGAATGATTTGATTTAAATGTAAATATTTGCACAGCTGTTATAAACATTGGCGGTAGTTCAAATCACATAAGTATATGTATGGTTGATTCTAAGAACTTTACGTTAGGACGTTCGTGTACTTTGCATGAAATAGCCTGTTTTGAATTTTGCATGTTCAAATATATATGTATATCGCTGAATTGATATCGGCAGTGACCTGATTGTAACCACAGGAACGGTAAAACCGCTTTGCATGAATTGGTCACTAAGTTAAGATGTTATGTTCATGTATCTAAAAACTGAGTGTTAAGGCAGGTTCATTCTTCGAGAGAAAGCAAAAACAAAAACTCGAATTTGTGACGTCAGATCAACTATTCGTCTTGCGAATTCGTAAAAGTTAAACACATTTCAACTAGAACGAAATTCTCGCTGCAGATATTTTTGAGACGTCTAATTCGCTTCGCTTTTGTATTCGCCTGAAGTATGAACCGGCCTTTTTATGTAGCCAAAGTTTCCTGTTTAATCACCCGGTGAAAGAAGAACGTCTATCTGATATATATTTTATATAAATCAATTTTATCATAAAACTTGAGGAGTTGGATTTAATTTACCCATCGACCGTAGGCAACCTGGGTCCACTCTTTTGAAAGAAGTTTCATGAGCCTGAGGGCCTGAAAATCCGAATATACCATGTTGCTGAAGGTTATTGGTCTGAAAATGAAATAAAGTTCCTAACCCCACACATTGGTTACGATTGTCTGGATTAGTATTTCGTTCGGTGGGATTGCTAATCCGCCCAGGCGAAATAGAAAGCCGCCCTAGCGAAATACTAATCCGCCGTATGAATTAGTGGGTCAAATACGTAGCTAAATACGCTGTCATAAATTTCTCATGGAGCCTGTAGGTCTCAATGGTTCATTGAGCACCAGAGTTCTATAAAATAATAGCACTAGCATCAGACTTTGGAAACAAAATGGCTGTTCTTTATATGTACAGTAGAGTGTGCGGCTGATGTACACCAATTTCCCATGTGCCTTGGCGCATACACGTGCCAGTCTGTTGCCAACAATGATGAAACTTAGGCCTATGTCGTATAAACTCTCCACATGTCGCTCTACTGAGCACCACTGGACAGCACACACCTTTAGTGCAGTGGGATGACACCATGCAAAGGTTATCCTTCTGCTCACTGTTGTATATTCCTCAACCCCTGCGCAATATAAAGTCATTTGTTTCAAACTGCATTAGTACTGCAAAGCTCTAGAAATGCCATCTGACTCATCAAGATTCCGACATTATACATGTATCAGGATGGCTACATTCATATTTTGCAGGCAAGATGTCGACATCTTGGAATAATTTATGACAGGAAAATGGCATCCAAAAATTAGGATGACAACATCCTGAGATAAAATAGTCGCCAGATGCCGGCAGGCGATATCCCACACACGTTATGGTGCGATGGCATTTTCCGGAAAATAAAACATCGATATCGATAAGTTGGAATAATGGTGACAATCTCATTAGAGTGCAAAAAATGGGCCTGGCTCACGATGCCAGCGTGTTATTTTCTGGATTTCGGCCTCTCAGGGTAAATCATCTTAGGATTTGCACTTCTTTCTTTCAGGATATTGTCATCTTATAACACAACACAATGGCAGAATATAGGCTTAGATGTCACCCTGTCCTTCTACATATGATGCAAGATATGGAGCGGATAGAACCTCCCAGCCTTGTGTTGGTCATTGTTTGATCGGAATCTCAGGAATTCTTTACAGACTTCTAGGAGGATGTGTAAGGTAACAATAGTCTAGAGTGTGTATAGGGATTGGACATGGGGGGACCCATCGGCCCATTCCGTGCACAGTTTCTATGGTACTGTAGTTCACAAAAAGGGCAAAGGGCACGCTCTTAAAATAACAATAAGAGTGTTACACGTCACGTGCAAAAAAGGAAAGCCCGTGAAATGCTAGCGTGACCATTGAGTCAAAACTGGTTGGGCATGCAGGGTCAGCTATCACACAAGTAATCGCTGCTGCTACAAATATGTGTAGGAGTACTTAAAAACCGAGGAAAAGGCTTGAAAATATCGACAATTCGAGTGGAGTTTACCTGTGTATGTGGGAAAACTAAGCTCTCCAGACCTATTCATTTTCACAAACAGGTAAGTTTTAATAACATGACAGACGATCAATCACTTAGTTATGGCATGAAGTTGCTCCTCATTCAAAGCCTTGCCTTTTAAAGATTTCTGGGTGATCGGGATCGTCGTCAATTCGAATATTAACACTGTACGCTGCACTTTAAGGAGACTGTTTACTGCTCAAAGGTAGTGTTTACTCGTGTTCAGCTAAGTAACTGATCAAACACGTCTGCATTAGTGAGCAGGAAGTCTCAGGTTCGACTCCATCTGAGCAAGGTTGTAGTTTCTTCGCAACTCTCTGAATACGCACAGATGTAAATCATCTTTGCGCTTCGTTTTTTACAAGATCTTGCCACCCTATAGCTTATCTCATGATGCCGAATCGTCAATATGTCACCGCTAGAACACAATGGCAGAATATATACGTCACACGGTCCTTCCATGGTACCATAGTTCACAAAAGGGCACGCCCTTGAAATAACAATAGGAGTGCTACAGGTCTCCATCGGAGTGCTACGGGCCACGGGCTAAAAAGGGGAAAACCCATGAAATTTCTCAATGGTAGCGTGACCAATGAGCCAAAACTGGGTGGGCGTGCAGAGTCGGCTATCAGACAATAATCGCTGCTGCTATTTGTAGGAGCAATTAAAAACTCTGGACAAGTCTTGAAAATATCGACAATTCGAGTGGAGTTTACCCGTGCATGTGGGAAATCTAAGCTCTCCAGACTTCCTCAAGTTCAAGCACAGGTAAGTTTGATAACATGACAGACGATCAATCACTTAGTTGTGGCAAGATGGGGTTCTTTATTCAAAGTATTGCAATATTTTAAAGATTTCTGGGTGATCGGGATCGTCGCCATTTCAAATATTCGGGCTCTTCGCCGCACTTTAAAGACTGGTTAATTACTGAGGTGTTCAGGTAAGTAAGACTTATACATGTACGCTGATGTAAGGGCAAGATCGACCTGGTGTGTAAAAAAAAAGAATGAACCGTTCAAACAAACAGCACATTTTTCAAGCTCAATAGAGACCTAGTCAGATTAATATGGGTTTGTGACGTGGTGGTTATATAAAAACGCGTTCAATACAATACAATAATTACATTTATGTAGCGCTCTTACAAACTATGAGTTCTTTCACAACGCTTTACATCAGTAACGAAAGAGGAAGAACAATGGTGAATTATGGTTGATTCAATTGTTGAAAGAGGAGTAGAGTTTTGAGATGTTTGTTGAAAACCCACAAAGAAGGGGACAGGCGAATGAATCTTGGAAGCTCGAACTCGTTCCAGAGTCTAGGAGCACATGCGTGGAAAGCATTGTACCAGCTGTGGAGTGTGTCCGAGGAACATGGCGCAGGGTACTGTCTGTACTAGAACGAGGACCACGACGCAAAGACTGATGAAGGATGAGAGAGTTCATGTATTCTGGAGCTCTTGAATACAATAGTCAGGATCTTAAATTTGATGCGTTGCTTAACTGGAAGCCAATAAAATTCTCTTAGCAAAGGGGTGACATGGCCATTCGTACGGGTCTTGAAGATCAGCTTAGCGGCACGACCCTGAACCCTCTGAAGAGGTATTATAGAGGCGAGTTGATTCCATACAGTAGTGAATTGGCATTGTCAAGTTGGGACAACAGAGTCCCCGACAGAGAAATACAGATGAAGCAAGATATGAAACGGAGAGAACCCCCCTTGCTTTGTGTAGGTCATTGTTTCATTGGAATCTGAGGAATTTTTTTCGGACATCTAGGGGGGATGTGCCAGGTAAAAATAGTCTAGAGTTTGTATAGTGATTGGAAATGTTGGGGGTACCCCTCGGTCTCATTTCTTGCTGGATATAGAGAAATGAAACATGTCGATCCCTTTTAAGAGCCGAATCAAACTTGACACCAAGACTCTCAGCAGTGGATGCTGGAAGAATGGAGATGTCCGACGGAGTGAGAGAAACATCCGACACATACCGCTGTGCTTGTGGAGTAGATACTACAAGAAATTCAGTTTTGTCACAGTTGAGCTTTAAATTAATGGCTATCCACTCCTGGAGAGGCTCTATGCAATTTGACTGTGACAAAAGGGCATGATTCACTGATCCAGTACTTCTAGGACCAGAAAATGTGTACAATAAACACATCTGCATACAAATGATTGCGTACACCTTATACTGTCCAACGGTTGTGTGTACATGCTGGAGAGTCGTGGTCGATTATTGATCCTTGCGGAACACCATAATGGAGAAACTTTTGGGAGGACAGTTTACAAGTAACTTTACATTTGCTGGTGCGACCCGACAGGTAAGAAGTGAACCGGGACTGAGCAGTACCTGTGATGTTGAACACTTCAGACAGTCGACTGAGACTGTAATGTTCATGTGATGTTGCAGGCCCAAAATGAGTAGACTTCAACGTACCGTCCCCGGGTAACCCTTTTTCAGTTTTCATATACATTGTATTGACAAGTATGCCGATTTTGCCGTGATGTGTGTGTAGAGATTAATTCTATCCCATTCCTTTGGTGCATATGACCGCCGTCTTTTATCCCGAAGCTCAAGTTATTTTTACAAAGGCAGGGGACTTTTGATCCACGCACTGGGAAATAATCGGGAATGGACGGTCCTGTGCCATGCAGTCATGCGTGAAGTCAAAGCTTGTATTTGCTGAGCTTTTGTGCCAGAAATGAAATTTGCTCAGCCGTGTTTGGGTCTACAGTTGAACAATGGCACTGTAAGCAACCACTGCAGAGGTTTGGGGATGCTGGTAGCGGAAGGCAAGCCTATTGCCACTACATGTAGACCACCTGTATTAGAAACCATGTACATTCTTGCTCATGCATAGTTCATAGTTGATTTTGCCACTTCATGTACAGTGATCGTGGTATCACTTATAAACTTGCAGCAGTTTCCATTTGAAAATAGCGAAAGACTGTTTGTTGGTTGGTTGTTTTTTTTTTGTTTGCATGGGATTTGCAAAAATTTATGAGAGTCAGTCAACCAAGGGGTGACATCATCGAACGAAAATGTCAAGGCCTCTCCGGCAACATTTTGGCATTACTGAATAAATTACATATTCAACCTTGGTCCTCACTAACACTTTGCTTAGAAATTGCAAAGAACTACTACCGTAACGGCTTACTAAGCATACGAATTACAATGTACACGTTATTGCTTGGTCGTAAGGGTACAATTAATCGTCCCTGCTATGTGTAGGGGTACTTAAAAACCCAGGAAAAGGCTTGAAAACATGGACAATTCGAGTGGAGTTTACCTGTGTAAACCGGTGGGAAAACTTTACACTCTCCAACGTTTCTCAAGTTCACCCACAGGTAAGTTTAATAATTAACATGACAGACGATCAACCGCTTAGTTGTGGCATGATGGTGTTCCTCATTCAAAGCATTGCCTTTTAAAGATTTCTGGGTGATTGGGATCGTCGCCATTTCAAATACATGTATTCACACTGTTCGTTGCACGTTGAAGACTGTTTACTGTTCAAAGGTAGTGTATAACTTAGATGTGCAGCTAAGTAACTGATCAAACAGTAACTGATCTGCATTAGTGAGCAGGAAGTCTCAAGTTCGACTCCCATCTGAGAAAGGAAGTTTTTTTTCGCAACTTTCGGAGCACACATAGATGCATGCATATACACTGGTGAAAGGGCAACATTTATTTATGAAGTGTCCGAATTAATCAAGGTCCCCTTCAATGGAACCACCTCAAACCAACACATACTTTTAGTTCACTGCAAAATTTTAAAAGTACCTTAATTAAAACGTTGCTTTTGTCACATTATTCTGAGAATTAAATAACTCCCCGAAATTTTTATACCATCCCACTATACTGTTGAAAATGAATCATTATTTATTATCTCTGACCACTTCTTCCTTCTTATTTTCTTATTTGTCCGTTCTTGTTCATGTTTCCTTTTCTTTTCTTCTTTCTCTTTCATTTTTAGTTGAATAATTTACTTTATTCATTGTAGTTAATTATTCAATTAATATGAAACACGATTATTGATGTAAATATGATTGTATATTGTGTTTGTAATTTTCTTTTAACTTGAATAGCTAGTTTGCTTGAAAAATGTAATATATACATATTAACTCTTTAAAAAAATTGTTAGTAACAGTTTCCAGATCTTGTACAAGCATATGCTTGCTATTCTGAATCCTCATAACATTTCTGTTATCTTGAAAATTTTCTATTGATAATATGGAAATAAACTATACCTACACCAATGCCTACCTGCTTCAGTGTAACCGATTTTATTCGCATTTAGCTCGCAAAAGGCTTTTCTGTAACCTCTTTTTGTCTGCTCATGCACGTGTACTCCGGGATTCTAAAGCTTTGGGCTTGATTATGGGTGCCTTGTGGACACGTAGGACAACATGATGCAAAGGTCTGAAGGTGTAAAGGTTTCTAGAAGGCTTTTACAAAATTGGGTTTTTGAAATAACTGAAAAAGGATGTATTTTCAATGTTTGATTATCCGTAACAGATTGTCGAATAAAGAGATATCTGGTTGAAATTTAACCCAGAAAAGTAGTTCTGGTGGGAGCATTTAAATGAGCGTCCCACAACTGAGAGTTTAAGTGGACGAGAACAGAGCAATGTCACCTCAAAGATATTTATCTGGTGTGTTTGTTAATTTTCACCCGTATCCAGTTTATTCTTTGCCTTTGTGATCGTTTTTGTTACCTTGTCCCTTTGTTTGCGAGAATGATTCTGTCGGGATCGAAACTGCAAGCCCTATATTGGTTAATGTTTGATTTGTAGACTGGTCTTCACAGTACAACTGTAGAATTCTGACAAAGCTATCATTTCAACGGGATGCACTGCTGTCGCTCAGTGTAAACAGAAAATTGGAAACTTCAATAAAAGAAACATGCATAGTTGATCCATTACAGTGATCATGTTCTCTCATCTTTTGGTTCTTATTTTCAGTAAGCTCTTTTTCTCGCTTCTACACATCCACATATTTTGAAATCTGTCATGCAGCCAAGAAATTAGAGAGAAGGCCTACATCTGTATTCACTTTTCCTGATTTCAATAGTAACTTTGTGGGCTTGAACTCTAATACACTTTGCCATAATAACCACACAATAAATGAGCGCTATATTTGTTTTTGTCAAATTCCAAAATCATCTCTGGCATGCTGTGGGGACTTCTCACATGTTGCACTGGCAATCGAATGCATGGGTATGGAGGACGTATCCCGAGCCAATTTTTTTGTTGGAGGCGGGAATTCGGACTTTTTTCCATGTCACTTCTCAGGGTCTTTATAATGGTTGAGGGCTGAGGCTACATTGCGGGGTTTGCTGACCGCCTTTCGAAGGAATCGAAATTAAATACATAAAAAAACACATTTGTCTCATTATTTGAAAAAAAAACCCAAACATTTTAAGCTTTTGAGGGAGGAAGGGTGGTCCCCTATCCCCCCCCCATCCCAGATCCACCCTTGATGGGAACCGGTATATCTTTGAAACCAACTGAACGGGACGGCGAGAGTTATTATGGAATTGGGCTAGAACAGTTAATGCTGGGCGAGAGAAGTCCGAAAATATTCTTGAAATTTGAGAACTCTTTAAGCGTTAAAACCGTGACAGGGGCTGGGGCTTGGGTGACGGTAGCGTGAGGAGGTGTTGCGGGAGTCAAGGGTCGTTAATTTGCTCGTTATCACCCCTTATATTGTGGTTAAAGCAAAGGTTACTAAAGGCATTATATTTCTACAACGTTTCATGTGTAACCTGAAAGCTTCCCTTATATGCTTTGCAATATCTGTTGTGTTATCCGCTTCCAATTGTAACCCCTGGACACGAAACGTTCCTTTGACTCGATAGGGCGAAGACTGAGGTGATTTTTATCGTGTACTTGTTATTATCATTCCGCCATGCACTTCATAGTCCAGCGTCTGCTGTGAATTTTTACGTCCACTTTTCCGTTTCTCTTTTTTGATTTCGATAGATTCATCGGATATGTAATACCGCTTAACTGCATGCACTGGCAGGAAAAGAGTTTCACGTATGAAAATTAAAACACGTTTTTGGATCATACTGGATACTAACTAAATTAAACGGTAGTTAAAAAGCAAACTCGGGCCCCAGACTATTCCTTATATAAAGCTAGCCAGAATTTTTGAACTGCATAAAATTATGATCCAGTATCAGGTCAAAAAGCAGACAGACAGTGGACTTTTCGCCCTAGCTGAAGCCAGGTGGAAAACCCGTTTGGGAACAACTAAAAGATGCTGCTCTCAGAACAATCTGGCATAATTAATGCTGTTTTAAGGCTGCTGACGTCATTCACACGATCGTTTTTGCCCACAATCTGCGTGAAAAAACCTGTCAATTTACACTTGACCATGGTTGAAAGAGCTCATTACGTAATGTAACAGCGGTTGTGAACATCTATTGTAGAAGCCTCCAACAGCGATTTACTTACAAAACAAGAACACAGTACTAAAACTACGTAAACAAATCTCAAAAATAAGGCGTAAGGTATCTCATCAATAGACTAATATAATAGCATATTCATATCAAACACCATGCACCAATGAGAAACTGTTGTCGCCAAAAAGAATACTGACTTGAGGGATCTGGAGAATACAACCGGTACAAGTTTAATAGTGACGACGGTAACGGTAACGGTGCCGAGTTTTTCTCAAAGGTTGAAAAGTTTTCATTTCTATTAACCGGACTTTAAGATGAGTCTCGGAACGGAAACAAATTTGATTAATTCTCAAATCACCACCTTATCTTGTCTATTTCAGCTCATCTTTGACTCCTAAACCTGTGACGACTTTATTTCAGATTGATAAAAGATGGCGTCTGCGAAATGGCCTTTACAAATGCTCAGGACGGTGGTTGTCATGGTGACGTTATCGTTTACATCCAGCTATTTGCCGAACGAGTCCGACGCGTACGACACCGCTTGCTTCGTCCCTCCCTCAGAACGGCTTCCTGGTGTAGACAAGGTTACTGACCTTGGGGCAGAGGCTACGATCATATCATTTGTTTTGTAGTTTTAATCATTGCATTTCTTGAGATAAACAGTATTCATATTCTGTTGGAAAATACGGGTAATTCATTGTAGTGCGCCTCCAAAAGTTTGCAACGCGGTGGCCAACCATAATGCGCGAAATCTGTCGACCCAATGCGCGTGTGAAAAGGATCGACAGATTCGCGTACTGTGATTGGCCAACGCATTGCAAACTCTTGGAGGCGCACTACTTTGAATTACCCGTATTGATGGCTGATCACCAACCGAAGACAGTCAACCGAAAGATGGATAAATCGAGAGACCATACACCATCCAGTAGACCGATTGATCTGCGAACCGACTAACGAACCCACCCACTGACCCACCGACCGACACGCTGACCAATCAAGCAAGCGAACCCATGCAGCTAGCTTAAACGAACCAGCAACTTTTTTTTTCTTTTCTATCCCGTGTGCAGTTTTTCCTCTTTGAGGTATTTCTCCCTCCAGTCTCGTTCGAGTACTCTATCGAGTACCTGAGTTTTCCTAACGGATCATGTGAGTACCTATTTCACACATATTTTGATCTTCCTTTGGCCTTAGTATAAGTCGAACTTATCGTGCAAAGTTGATCCACGGGCAAGATAGCGGCTTGTACACATTGTCGCAGATCCAAACATTTTGAAAGTTTCTGACTCGTATTTCGTTGGCTGTATTTGGGCGAGTCGTTGAGGTTTGTTTGTTTGTTTTGTTATGTTTTCTTTTTAGGTGGCTTGGACACGTATATCCTTCTCCGAGATTCATATTTTCCCATCCAGCTAGCGAGCTCTCTTCAGCAGTTAGCAAGAGAACTTTTTAGCCACTGTGTGTTGGACAACCAGCAGGACATGACGCCACCGTATAGAGTGACAGTTATGTCATTAGTCGATACAGGTAATCACTTTTTGTATCATGTTTGTTTGCAAAGTCTTTAAAGTAACTGCATGAAAGAGGTGGCAAGATGCAACATCGAATTACACGATTCCTGAGGACACTCCCTCCACATGTAATAAACATAATTACATTTCCACTGTATGGACCTTTATGAATACATTGTGCACGCCTGTCCATCACGAACCGGCAATAAGCAAATGTGCAGATCGTGAAAATATATAGAGGCGCAAACTCCGTGGTCATTTTTTCTCAGATTCTCAGAGTCGTATAATTCCTTCTTCGGGAAGCCTCCCCAAATCATTATCCGCTCCGAGCGGAACAAAAGAGGGTGTCTTTTTTTGGTACTCATGGCATAGTCGCGCAATGACGCACGAGTATATTCGTGTTTGACGCAGAGCACGCTGAGGCCGCGGAACTATATGTAATTTATTCCAGCATGTGTGGTCTTTGCATACACGCAGAAAGCGTGCAAGTACCTGCTTCTAACCACCTGTCCTTCTTTTCGATTATTGGGTGTGCACTTCAGCTCGGGGCGGATAGCTACAAGATCTTTTTGTACTTTCAAGTGTTCTATGATCCCACAATAAAGAATCAGAGAAATTTTCGTTTCGCCCTGAAAAAAATAAAGAAACAAATATAGAGAAACCAGTGCGTCTTTCTTCCAAAAATATATAATAAGGGTTTCAAAATGATTCTTTTTCTATGCGCCTGTCTATACTTATTTCATCTTGCAGCGAGATCTCTATCCTGAGATTAAACAGCTGTTCTGAATAACTCTTTACATCTGGATGGCTACTTCTATTTATCAACTTCCAAATATCTAGACATGGCCCATGATGTAGTTCTAAGAGTGAAAAAGAAAGATCGATTGGTAGAGCAAAAATTTTCACATCTGAATAAAAATGAGGTGACCTATTATTTTGTAAAGCCCATGTTGTTCCCTCATTCATTCAAACATTCATCATTGATTATAGAATTTTGCGTTAAAGGACTTTGTCCTTTTTTTCAAGTAAAGTAATCATCCGGTGGCACCTCTCACTTCTTTCTGTGGTAGAATTCAGGAGGAGAAATTTTAAGTTGCTTTTGTTTTGAGGTGCATAAATGTTCTCTGTTGTGAGTACACAGTATAATTATGCCCTAATTATTTGGACGATTTACGCGTTTGACATGCGTAATTTGTATGTTCACTATAGGTCTAGATGGTGTTCTGAAATTAGTTCCGGATGAGGAATTCAGCCGACTTCCGGCTGAGTGGATAACAGCAGGAAATATCCTTCTTATACATATGGATAACATTACCGTGGGGCATCATGTTCTGAATTGCAACGAACCGAATTTGCAGAAGATGGAGCAATCTCAGTACAACCTCAATTTCACTCTTCAAATTAATGGTAGGTGGACTCGGTCTGTGGTCGCTGATATTGAGACACCGCAGGTTCATACAATAATAATACAAACTCAAATCACAGAGAGAAGATGCTCTTCCCACGACTTCCCGTGAAATCAGCCCTTGACCTTTTATACGACTCTAGTTGTGGCTGTGCATGTCATGTTTAATCGATGCACCACAAGGTGAAAATTGCTGCGCTGACATAGAAAAACCTTCTTTGTGGCAATATCGATTGCTTAACTTGTGCGGCTTTCTTTGATGTTAATTGATTATAAACTCCCTAGCACTGGAGCCGATCGAGCCATACCACCGTCAACCATTTGTAACAAAATTGGAAAATAACAGTTTCGGTGTTGGCTTTTTGTTCGTATATAGGAGAGAAATAAAACAACATATCGGGCGAATGTACGTTTTGGCGATCCAAATGGCTTAGCTATTGCCTTCCTATAACATTACCTTGTTTTCTTATGACATGTATTTCCAGAGCTTTCTCGTTTGATGCTCACGTGTTCATTTGCAGGTTGTCCATCGGGCAGATATGGCGGGAGCTGTGAGGGAAGTTGCCACTGCGCCGAAGGAGTGGAGTGCCACAGTTTCAATGGTGTGTGCATGTGTCCACTCGGACTGCAAGGGACTTCATGTGACCAACGTAAGGAGCTGAATGCACGATATTAATGGTGTCCATTTTTGCTTCTCTAGTTGTTATGGAGTTATTAAAGTGATTGTTATTGACAAAATGTTTTAAGGCAACCTCACCTGACAGGAGCAGGTCAGATTTGTGGACACGGGTTGCTGTTTCACGTCGAAGATGAACTAGGCATAAGATTTTTTTGCCGGCAGATCAGCGCCTTAAGCTATTTTATACATTCAGTCTAAGTTAGGTATGCTGTAAGTAGAATAGAGAGCATGCATAGTTCGAATGCAGGATTTGCATAAAATCAAGCCTGTCAGCAATATGCATTGATGAAGTATTTTCATATTATTTCGATTTGATGCCTTTGGTTTACGTCAACATAGAAGAAGTTACTTGTTTCATTAAAAGTTATTTTAGCCACTTTTGTGATCAAGTTTATCACAAGGGACTGCAGCACTGTCACAAGTCAGTCAAACGTACTATCCAGGCTTCAGCTAAGTAGTAATAATGGTGAACTGTGACGTAACATTCCTATAGCATTGTTCATTCTGTTTTTTAAGTCTTATCCTGAGACAGCACGTGTAGCTTACGTTGTATTACTGCCTTTAGCAGCTGGTCATATCTCTGTTTCACCATTTGTTTTTAAGGTAAGCCAGTGATCACTGTACAGACGCGCCACATGTACGTCCCCTATGGACAGAATTTCACTCTGATGTGCACAGCACATGGAGTGCCATCACCACTGGCGTGGTCGTGGACTAAATATGGCCAGGCCACGCCCCTGTTGGCCGCCTCCAGTCTAGAGACTACGCCATATTCTCCAAGGTTTGCATTTATTTTGTCTTTCTGCGTGTGCTAGCCGAGGATGATTTCGCTCCGCACGGCAATTGGCCGAGCGTATTCCAATCAGAAGTACACGCGAACGTGGTCTCCAATACAGAGACATAACACGCTAACATTGTTCCTGACCAGAATGTTCACTTCTCACAGTGAAATTGAATAATAATACTCATTCAGTGCGCTAATGCTGGAGCAGTCGTGCTTTAAAACCGTTCTGAACTGCGCTGTTCGGAAATGAAGCAGGCCTAACCAAGTTGTACCTACCGTTCCGAAACGAACGAAACCGTGCCGGACCGTACCATATAGTACCGTACCGCACCATCATGGACACACAGAGCATTTGTCATTTCTAGTATTTCTCTTTGCATAACCGTATTGGCACTACTATTATTGCAATCTCGTTAATGTTATCTTTTCCCCCTTTTTTCAGTGACCGCCATCTTAATTTTCACCTAGTTACAATCTACTTGTGCTCAGGTTTTCGTAAATTGACTTCTCGGAAGTCTTATGTACAAGATATGACTCATCTTGCGAGTTTGCTGGAGAGGAATACACGATGTCCCTGTTGATACAGAATTTGTAGCTTAGGCCTATTTCCCCGTTACCACTTTGAGAACAGCAATTGACAGACATGCCTCAACTTCAACATGAAGCCCGCGTGTAAATTTGGACATTGTGCAAAAACGTCGTCCGATCTGACTGCCCATCCCGCGTTAATAAAGGAAGCACTTATACCCAAATACCACGAATCAAAGCGTGTCAGTAATACATGGGCACTGACTATAAACAGCAACTTCAGCAGCGACGTGTGGTACCCCATTGGCAAAAAAGAAGTCAGTTTGTGTAAAGCTAAGGATTCATAATGAAAAGGTCTGCATGTTCCACTCTTTCCTATTTTTTAGGAATTTCTTAATTTTCAAAACAGGTTGTTTGTGGAAGATTATTGATATCTTGCCAGCACCGTAGCGTCAAAATTCTTTTAATCAACGCTTGTTGTTCCGAAGCCACGCTACTATTTATGACATAAGACAATTATACATTACCGCAATGATTCATATCGTGGTATTTGGCTGAAAAATCACCAGTCCTCTTTATTTCTGAGATCTCTGTACACACGTACACAAATCCACTCAGCACACCTGTTGTGTATTAAAGCACGGGTGGACGTTACTGATGTCACAAAATTTTGTTTTAAAAAATTTTTTTGCAAACAGGCCCTTTGTGATCAAGAGTATTGTAGAAGCAAAAGATACATCTGTCAACGGCCCCTATGTGTGCGAGGTTATTGACGGGAATGGAACTCTATACAGACGGCTTGTGAATGTCACCGTCATAGGTAATGTTAGCTCTCGTCATCTGTGCTATCGGGTTGAGCACCTGGTAGGTAGTTTGTATGTAAGCTAATGACATTGCTACGGTTTTGCCACTTGCAGCTCGCTACTCTGGATCCTCACAGTCGTAATGAGACAATAGATCCAACATTAAACTCATCAGCATTGCCATTGTGTGATATCAAAAGTCCTTGGAGTTGAATTGGAAGTGGAAGGCGGATTGTAACCTGATATGACCTTTTTTTTGAAATGCAGTTTTTAAATGTTAGCTAAAGCTTGCTGCTGTACTCTATTGAATTCCACAGCCATTCCCGAGCCATTCGTGCAAGTTCCTCAGAACCAAACCGCCCTCGTTGGAAGCAACGTTACTTTTACGTGCGAAATCAGAAGCGATGCCGGGGTAATCCGATGGGTCAGAGGTCAGAAGCAGCCACCAAATGAAGCAGCTGCGATCAGCGACCTACCTAGCCGGTTCCAGATAGTACATCCCTCGGAGGGCGTTTCGAGTCTCCGCATTTTAAGGTTGGGGTTTGATGACGAGGAGGTTTACAGGTGTTATGCAGGGCATACCTTCCGGGCACCAGATTTGATGTACGCAGAGGCAAGGCTCAAAGTTCAGTGTAAGCAAGAAATAACGTGCAATCCACAAACCTCATACATACTTGAAACGCTACCTCAAAATCGAGTGTTGTTAGCAGGAGATTTGAGTATCTATGGCTTTTTTTAATTTTAGAATAAATTACAGTTAAAAACGAGAAACACCTGTACACAACCCACGAAAAGAGCATGATGAAGAAATTTCAGATTGACCGTAAACCACTGACGGTCATTTCCACAACCAAGGACGTGTTATCAGATCTTACTTTTATGATTCGCTGTGCAACTTTGATAGAAATTAGTTTTATTACTAATCATACCTGGATATGTTGCCCAGAGACAGTGTGACTGAACTGTACTCACCTCAGTGTGTCAAAGTCGGTTCGATCTATTTATTATCACACGTGAGTTTATAAGTGACTCAAAACGTTATTATAATGCACAAGGAGTACAGGGACTAGGCACAGTCAGACAGACTGGTAAACGGTTCTAGATAGTGCTGCGGCACGGTTTTAAACCAACCCACTTAGACTCCCTCGTACCAGACTGACACTATAGGTCATGTTTTACCTGTTAATTAAAGGGTCGTGCTGTAAGGGACCTGGATTAAAGGTTAGTCTGACTTGTGAGTTGTTTTTATATGAAGAATTACATATTGTCAAGGTGAAATATTCGTAATATATTTTTGCCACTGAAATCCCCCAGCCGATCCCTATCCCGAGTGTTCCTTCAACAAGGTCACCAGCACCCTGTCGGGTCAGAAGCTGACTTTCCGGTGCCTGGTGATGCAAGCCAAGCCGGTACCTCGGCTGAACTGGAGAGTTCAAGGAAGACATCTGAAGCCCATGACGTTCGAGCACCGCTCCGACGACGGCTTCTCCTACAACATCAACACCTCCTTAACCTTTGTACCTGGGCCAGGTGATGATGGGAAGAGGTTGTCTCTCTCCCTAACCAGTCCAGCATGGACAGGAACCAGAGAAGTGGAGACATCACTGAATGTCTCGTGTAAGATTTTTAATAAAGATATGTTAAGTGCGTGGAGTTATTCATTCTAAAAAAGGCACATTTATTCAGTCTTTAAAATATTCTTTTAACTTTAGGACGTGTGTCATATACCTACGGCAGTAAGTGGAAATAAATTAGTAAACGTGGTTGTAGATTGTCCTGAGAAGTGCCTTAATCAAATCTCGTGTTTTCGTCATCTTTCCTTCTTTGCGAATGACGACAAATTGATGTTAAGTTTTGGAATCAACCACAAACAAGTTTCTGGAAAGCTATATACAAGTACTTAATAGGGTGGCTCAGTCATCGATCCACTTTTGTGGCATTCGAATATGGTTAACAGGCACTGCGCCAGGAACAGGTTATATTGCACCAGTTTATCTCAATCCACTTTTGAAGTTCGTATCATCCTTGGTAAACTCCCTTGAAAATTGGATTTAGCAATCTTACCCAGATTTACCCAATCTTACCAATACTCCACCCAGCGGTTTTTCTTTCTCCTTATTTGGCAGATGCGCCCTTTGTGACGGTCATCCCTGACCCTATTACGGTTAACAAGGGCCAGGATGTTACAATCTCTTGCTCGGCCAGGGCCAATCCGGACCAGGTGGATGTTGTATGGACCCTTAGATCCCCCAACAAGCCAGCGGCCAATGTGTCCACCAGTCCTACGTACACATTCAAGAATATCAACATGGAATATGACAAGGCTAACCTGACATGTTCCGTTAGAAACACCATTGGCAAGACTGAAAAAACTGTGCAGATCAAAGTAACAGGTTAGCATTGTCTCGGTCAAGACATCTCACAGAAGCCAAGGAAGATTTTTATTAGGCTGTTTCGTTGCAGGCACAAAGTATTGATCACGGGAATACCAACTTTTTATTTATACACTTCCGAAGGGTTTTACGTCCTGCTTTCCCAGTCAGTTAAACACATTGATAAGTGCGTTTCGAAATATGGTGCCTTGTGGAAACACAAGAGAATGGGTTGAATAAAGGTCTCCACAAGGATTTAACGAAACTCATATTTGGAGATTGCTCAAAAAGGAGAAAATTTTAATGCATAAGAATCCGTTGGAACTGAAGTGTCTCAAATATGGGACATTCAGTCGAAATTCCATTCCAGGAGAGTGATTCATGTTGAAAATGGGAGCATTTTGAAAACATCGTATCACACGCCACCGAGTCGGTACAGTAAAACAAAGCCATGTCTCCACAAGGATACAAATTTCGGTATGGGTGTAACATACCCTACTGTCCCCGGTCCTCAATCCATGTGTATGTGCACCTGCAAACGCAGGTGCATCATGCATAATAGAAATCTCTGTTTATTAGTATCCACCTGAAAATTACTGGTCAAACATTTAGGGGGCCTGGCGTTTCCATTCCAGCAGAATCCAGAAAGCATTGCGTTCCAATCCTAGCAAGGCATTCTGCTGGCATCGAGACGTCTGACTTTCCTACTTTTTGGATTTGTATTTTAGGTCACTGTTGCTAGCAAGAAGTTTGCGGCAGTTTTTTTTTATATATATGTTTTGGGAGCCCCGATATACAAAGATCCATCTTATTGTTTGCCTGTACTTAATTGCTTCAGCCAATTTAAATTATGACACTCCACATTTTCTTTAAAGATTCGTTAAAAGTGGAATTAGGCCATTTGTGGTCCTTTTCCAGGATTTTGAGGAATGATCTTTTCCCAAATATAGTTCATTCTGTCTATGATTTATCAAACAGATAGTAGCATTTCTCTAGCAGCCAAGATAGGTCTCAGTGTTTCAGCAGCTCTCTGTGTTACCCTGCTATTCATCGCAAGCGTCATATCTCGTCGATATCGCAGGGAAATTAAACTCTGGTGGGCTCAAAAAGCTGACAAAACTGAAGGTAACGAGAAAGCTCCTCTCAATGCCCATTATGGTCTTCTAGAGTCATTGGATTGCTTTGTTTCGAGTGAAATGAGTTTCAGACACAGGAGGATTTTCTACCGTTTAGAAAGATCTCCATTAAATTTTGAAAAAAAAAGCACGTGAATTTCCAAGCTCTCAAAAACCATGCCCAGCTGATGTTATTTCGTAATTACTATGATATCAAAAGTATAGAGAGGTCTGTTCTATGTCAAGAATTAAACCCCCCCTGCGAATAATTTTCAAACACGTTTTTATCTTATATCATTCACTCGTGATTAATCTTAAATCTCTCTTCAATATGTCTCATTAATGTCAGCGTCATGTCATTGTAGACTAATGCAGCACTCCTTGCAGGGGTGTAAATACCGGGGAATGGGGGTATATATCCCCACCACCCTTTGAGGTGGGATGGGTTATTGTAGCACCTCCCCCCGTTTTTTGCGGTGAGCAAAACAGTAAAGCGAATTGTGAAGAATTTCTCAGACTTCTAACAGCTCAAATGCATTCAGTATCATTTAGAAAGGAAAAAAACAATTTCAAAAAGACTTGAATATGCCATTCTGAATACATTTTACCGATGTACATCAGTACATCAGTAAACATTGACCTTTATATAGAGTCATATTGTATCCCCCTCCGGCTTGTTAAATTGTCATGGCCGGGCAAGTCACCCCCACCTTTCCAAATCCCCAACAAATCCAAATTTACGCCTCTGACTCCTTGAACTAATCCAGTTGCCAGGTCGCTGCTGGTCTGTCGGCAACCGTATTGGCGGTTCGTGTGTTAAACCTAAGCAGTGCGTTTAAACCTACCCACTCCTCAGCGGGAAGACCAAATTACATTCCTTAGGGACACCGGGAACATGATTTTGATCCTCTTTGAAACCATAATAGAGGGCAGTATTGACACACACTGCATCTCCAATAAGAGTGAGCGTGCAGAATTTTTCCGTTTATGGAACACTATTATTTAAAACTAATCCTTACCCCTCCCCTTCCACATTTCTTTTCGATCCAAACATTATTTAAAAAGCCTTTATTGTCCATTCATTTCGAAGACAAAGACTTTGACGTGTTCATCTCCTACAAGAGCAGCAGCCCAGACGAGGAATTTGTGATGCACGAGCTGATCCCTCGACTGGAGCAGGCTGGATACCGTGTCTGCGTCCATTACAGATACTTCCTGCCTGGAAGAAGTAAGTTCCATTACTGCTTTCACCACCCTGAGGGGAAGTTGAAGGTGAGGAATCGTACAGCCAACTGATATTTCTTGAAAGTATCAATGGGTTTATGACAAAACCTTTCTCGAGGTCTGTTCCCACATGCAGGTCTGCCACAATTGGGGTGGTACTACATTTGGTTGGTGGGATATTTGCAACTTAAGAGTATTTTTTAGCGTTTATACCATTATGCTGTGTCTCATTTACCGACTCTTTGTTACAGGTATCATTGAAAACATTGCGGATGCGGTCCATCGTAGCCGTAAGACACTCCTCCTATTGTCTCCAGGTTTCATCGAAAGCGAGTGGTGCTGCTATGAGTTCCAGGCTGCTCTCTCCCAGATGTTACACCTCCAGTCGGACCTCATACCTGTAATCTTTGAGGACCTGGGACCCCAGGAGAATCTGTCCCCAGATCTGCAGACGATGCTGAGGACACTGTCCTACGTCATCTGGCCCGGTGCCATCCAGCAGGGCTGCTACCAGACTGAGACTGACCTGGACCGCTTCTGGAAGCTGCTGTGGCAGTCGCTCCCACCAGTACCTCTTAGAAGAGACGAGCAGGCGGTTGGCACTGTAGAACTGGAGTTGGAGACCAATCCAGGACAACGTGGAAGAATGGATCGAGTGGACGGAAATGCGGACTACAATGGGGATGCGCCTTTGGTACTTCCTCCTTGACAAGGCTTTGACAAAGACCTGCCTACATATCATTGATGGAAAGTTGCCAAGTGGGCATACCATGTTTTTTCAACATTTCATATTGGTTTAAACGATTTCCACCTGTTCAACGTTTTGAACAACGTTTCTCCCCAAAGTTGTTACCATAAAAAGATATCATACAATCATTGAAACCCATACCACTGCATAGTGAACGAGAAAGCTTCAATGGCTCGGCTTAAACTCACTCTGGAGTCCGTTTGGAGGAAACCTGTTTTCGTCCTAGGACAAAACATCCACCTAATATGCACTGTTTTTACTTTTTATAGAGCGTTCTCTATATTCAGTTTCAATCTAGTATACGTTTGCTCAGTATTACTCTTGCTTCTATATGCAGTGATTTGTTAGTATTCATTTTTTCCCTGTATATTTTGTTTGGCGGTATCAGAGGCACGGAGGTGAGCCCAGGGGATATCCTACTTCTCTTGGAAGTCCTGGGCATCATATTGTAATTATAGCCTATTTGTACAGTTTACCGATCGATATAAATGTGCTTCACAGCAGTTGGTTAAAAATGAGTAACATTGGATAGTGTATAGGTATAATATTTGGCCCACTCAGTGAAAAAAGAGTCTTAAGTCGCCAGAGCCACTTTTTGAGTTTTCATTTGTATTGGAAAGAGCGAACTGAGTTTTTTGCTTGGATGTATCACTCAGTTTGGTATCCTTATGAAAGTGGATACTCCATGGTGAAAAATGCTGTGGTTTCCTACTGATTTACACTGTGCACAATTATGCTTTAGGACTTTTTATTCCAAAGTGGCTCTGGCGGCTTAAGACTCATTTTCACAGAGTGGGACGCATATATATGGGTGCAGTGTAAAACATGATATCCTGTGTCGTTTTAGCTAATTTTATTCTAATGGCCTGTCGCTTACGTGTTAGACTACCTGTGAAGTATTTGATTTCGGCTGGCTGGTTTGATTGAATATTTATGAGGAGTAATAAAACAAATACAGCATGGTTTATTTCGGGAAAATAGTGGGAATTACTGGTCCCAAGATGTAGGTTAGCGTAACCAAAGATTGTATAGCGCCGCCCAGCGGCGCAAGATGGGGAACTGACCACCCCGCATGTGTTAATTTCACGGAGGTCACGATCCGCCATTTTGGTGTGCAAATTGCGAGCTGTTTGTACACGTGACATATGGCGCCAGGAGGCTCTATCCACGAAAAAGGGGCATTAAGGTAAATATTTATCGCCATTTAAGATTGAAACTTATATTTATCATAAATANGGATTTATCACTGCTGTCTATGGGAATTTATTTGTAGTGGTGCACCCCGATGCGAATGTCGCGAAGTAATATTGCGCGTGCTGTGTGAGCTCTTTTGTACCACGCGATTGGACAATAATGTTTCAAAAGCTGCGTCAGACTCGATTCTGATGCGATTGTCCAAGATGCCAGTTCGATGCTCTGCATGCCTATGGCGGCAGTATGCAAAGAGCGAATAATGGGGATCAATGGCCAAACGATGGATGGCTGCGAGTTCAACGCGATTTGCATGTGACGCACAGAGATTACATGTATTTGTTTACATGTGCTTAAAAAAGGAATTTCCTTTTTTCTCTCTTTGGTACTGCTATCTCTTCTTTTCAAATGTTGCAACCGAATTGTTTGGAATTCAGTCAGCGCGCAGCCCCTCCGTTAATGAGCATTTTTGGCAATTCCGTTTGCACGCAAAAACGATCTCGCGAGTAGGGACCTACATGGGAGTTCGCGAGAAAAAGCGAGAATACAGTAGTGCCCCTTCAACCTGCCAGGAAATCCGTTGATTTATTCGTTGGTTGAAATGGCTTGGTGAGTAGATAGTTCACGTTTTTCACTATCAATAAAACTTTGTTTCGGCGATGATCGACAATATCCCAACGATGTATTTGGACGCAAACTTGCTTAGTGTTTTTCAAGAAAATCGCAGGCCTGCTCTTTTTTTAGTGCACCTGACTGTTTCGCAATAACTGGACAAGACTGAGTCTTACTCTTGACGAAAAGGATTAAACATCCGTTTAATACCAACATTTTTGCTGCCGGGCCAATCAAAATTTTAAAGTTTTATGCACTACTCACTCGGCCACCCCGGCAGTGTTTACATTTTTGCGAGACGAATGGTAAGACTGGTTTCCCAGTAAACGACCACCATTCACTAGGTTTCCTTCGAAGCAAAGTCTGGGTTCCCGATTTCGGCAACACACATTTACGCGTTTTTCTGGTGTCATTTGATTGGCCAGTCTTAAAAAGAATATGTCAATCAACTAGTCACAGATAGTTTTTCACGAAACACATACGGCAGTTTTCTCACGAAGTTTCACGAAGTCTAAACCTGCGATAATGAAATATGTTTGGTGCACTTGACTGTTTCGCAACGACTTGAAAAGTAAAAACTTATTGTTTGGCTGGACATATGACATATCTATCTTTCTGCCGTCAAGAAAATTCTGCCGGCCCAGATTTGGATCCACTAAAACCAATTTTTGGTACCCTCGTTTTTACACAAGAATGTCTACGTTTCACGGCTAATATTCTTCAAAAGAGACTGCGAATATTTAGGACATGAATATTTAGACAAAGGACATGAGACTGATATCTTAACTGTTCATTTATGTAAGGATATTCCATTCTTAAAGGTAACACAAGGTGGTATACAATTTTGAAAAGTCCACTGCATGGCTCATTATATATGCATGATCCAGACAGCTCTGCATAAGTAGCAAATGAAAGGAGCAGCTTTTAGGGGTGCTGCGCGCTGACTGAATCTACATGGGTTAGACTAAGTAAACAGGAGTTTTTTCACAATCGAAAACTGGCTTCAGAATAGAATGTTATGGATGGAGTTCTTCAACTGTGCGTATATACCGATGGGTGAATTCAGGGTGCATTCCCGGCACCACATCGTTGGATTTCTGCGCGCGAGCTCATTAATATTTTGTGATCCCACGGGGCTTTTACAATAAGACAGGCTATTACCAGGAGAGATCATAGAAGCATTTCTCTAAATCCTGACTTTGGGCCGGGTACCGTGTTGTTTCCGGTTCGGGGTATTTCTTTTACTTTAAAGCCCCAAATTGCAGGCCTAATTTGGATAGAGGCGGGCGGCTTAACTGAGCGCATAGATTTCCTACTATTTTGGGGGTTTCTTTGGGGAAAGGCAAATAAAACACATTTCGTGACAGACCCTCATAATATTGAAGCGAAAATAATCTTCTGGCCATGTTCTTGAATTTCTTAATAATTCTTGAAACTGGAGATCAACCTCTTCCCGAGAGTCAACAGACCACATTTTTTCGATTTGATTTTGAACTGTTTTCTATGGGCGCGTATTTTGTGTAGTGCAACATTCAAGTTGCCTACACTGTTGGATTTTGTTGGGTGCCTTCTCGGCTATGGTACCCCGCCGTTGTTTTGGTTAGGAGCTGCCTGTTGACTCTCGTGAAGAAGTTGGCCTCCGTTATTTTACTGGAAATTCAAGATTATGGCAGAAAATCACTTTTTTCTTCAATTTCATGAGGGTTACCCCCGATTTTTTTTTCCTTTCAAGGAAGATACCCCCAAATAGCAGAAAAACCAAGCGATCATTTCTGAATGTAACCGTCCGCCTCTATCCAAAATAGGCCTGCAATTTGGGGCGTCTTTGTGTAAGAAATACCCCGAACTGGAAACTACCAGTCCCAAATTCGGGATTTATCGTAAAAAATACATGGCATTTGGTGGAATGCACCCTTATAAATTATGTCTGTGTACTCACCGCATAAGCGCGCGTTTATAATGGAGATCAATGGCACGTTTGAGGCGGAGCACGTGGTTCGTGACGTCGTCACAAAGGCGGACGCGCCAAGATTTGCATGCTCCCATTGGACGATTGCTGAAGTTGCCCGTTAACTTCCAGCTCCATGGTTCCATGTAAACGGTGATCAATGCATGTAACCTTATGTGCAGTGCACGTGCGCAGTGGGGGTGGTATAAACTGAAGTGACGCCACACTTACGAATCGGATAACAGGCTTTGCGTACACGCGAAACGCGTGCAAGAACCCGCTTGGAAAATTTACAACCATTTGTCTTTCTTTTTCCGCTAGGGGGACACTTCAAATCGGGGCGGATCGCTCCATAGTGGTAGTGCAGATATAAACAGGTGTGATGTCATCAGTACATAGGCCTATATCGAGAAGTAAGACACGGAGTGTATACGTGCGTGTGGGGCAAACACTGAGCACACCAGTTCGAATTGACTTCACACTTCGATAGAGGTAAGTTTAATAACGTGTCAGATGTTACCATTACAGTGTTGTGGCATGGTCTTGCTCATTCAAAGCACTGCCTTTCAGAGGATTTCTGGATGATCAGGACCATCGACATTTCAGTGGGTGATGTACGCAAGCTGTTCGGCGTACTCGAAAGACTGTTCATAGAGCCCGAAGCCAGTGTGACCACGGCAATGTTAAGGGGAATAGCTGAACAAACGTCTGCACTAGTAAGGTGTCTGCACTAGTTAGGAAGAAGTCATGGGTTTGAATCGTACCCGAGCAAAGTGATGGCGATGTTTTCGCAACCTATCATCGAAGCACACCGAGAATCTAGTGTAAATGCATCCGTTGGTACAAGGGCAAAAGCTAGTGCCATAAGAAAGAACAAATCCAATCCAACAAAAACAATAGGCTACGTTTTTTCAAGCTTGAAGCAGCCTAGGATCGCTTTATGTGGTAAGTAAGGTTATAGAACTACGCGTTTAAATTAAATAGTTGCAATCTTAAAATGACTAGGCTTCAATGTTCTGTCTTCCCGCAAACTTGTTTCAGTTTTCACAAACGGACATGCATACCAATTTGATCACATAGTACAGTGGATTATTTTTGCTGATTTTTTTCAGTAAATATGCCCCGTCTTTTTTCCCCCTTTGTGCAAAATACACGTCTGTCGTTAAAGGCGGGTATGTTTGACCTGTTTAAAAAAAATAATAATCGGCGACAGCTGGCCTTGTGCATGATGTGCCGTCGTGCGTGAAGTCGTTCTTACTTGCTGAGATTTTGTGCCTGAAAATCACAATGTCCGCCTCTGGGCCCTGTGTATGCCTAGTTGTTATAGCAGTAAAATGATCTCAACAATGGATGAACTATGCAATGAAAAATGCCTATGGAGGCAACCATTTCAGAGGTGTAAGGTGACACCGGTAGCAGAAGTCAAGCCTATTGCCACGACATGCAGACTACATGCATTAGAAACGTACATGCATAACATAAACTTGCCACATGAAAAATTCATCATTAATTTGGCTGCTTCATGTCGATTGATTACGGTAATGCCTGCAAATGTGCACTTTCCATTTGCAAATAATGTCCCTTCTTTTCGTGGGTTTTGCAATTCTACATCGTTTGATTACAATTTTTCAATCAACGAAGCAAAGTCATCGAGCTAAAGTGTCACGCCCTCTTAGGCAATCCGTGCGGTATTGGCTAAATTACATATTCAGCCATGTTCTTCGCCAACACTTTACATGCATGTAGATCTGTCATTGCAAAGAATAATTAACAGCTTACGAATTGCACGCTATATTGCTTTGTACTGAGGGTATAATTGATCATTATAGATTTTAATATTTATCCTCTTTAATTTAAAAATAGTTTGGTTGGAATCCAAACCAATTTAGATTTCTTTCTTGTAGAACAGTGCGAGAACTTCTCTTTGCTTATTCTCCGCTCCCATTTGTCAGCCCATCATCTGCACTCCAGAGCTTCTCCACCCTTCTGCTTTCATCGATGCCTGGTAATTTCCTTTTTTGCTAAATTCCTATTACCACTTTGTCATATTTCTTGTGAGAAAGGTTCTGCTGGGAAACGTTAAGTCCTGTACTTATCTATTTCTGTTCAATTTTAGACTTTCAGATTTTAGGTCACTCTAGTCAGCAACGCAGTTTCTAACAGCACAATTCTAAATCGTGATTTAAAAGGAACACGTTGTTGTCATATCAGGGTGAAAACAAGCACAAAAAAAATTCAACTTCACAATGTCGTTTACAAAATTTAATACATGAAATTCTTGCAATAAATAAGCATTCCCTTTACCTGAAACGAAAAGCGCAGAGTGTTGAGGCAGTGTATAATAGTTAAAAACTCTGAAAAGCAAGGTGGTGAAGTACAGGTAAAGGACTTTGTCCACGATGTAAACACAGTTACTCAAGGAAATTAAATATTGATAAAACAAACATCAATGGTTGATCTGTTACATTTTTATTGTTTTTGCTTCCTCTTACTGGGAACTCTTTTTTCTCTCCTGAACACACTCTCATGTATATCTCGAAAATGTTTTGAAAGTTCTTAATCAGCCAGCAAAGGGCAATACTTCTGTGTGGACATTTGCTGATCTCTCTGCAAACTTTTGTGTGCTTGAACTTTGTTTACTTAACCCAATAACCAAGTCATTATTAAGAGGCCCTTTTGTCCGTTGTATTCAAATGAAATTAATAAATTACACCGATAATTCTAATAACCAAATAAATGTGAACGGTATTATAGTTGGTGCTGTTTCGTGGCAGTCAACATTTTGCACGCGGTTGTTCCAGTACAGAACCCGCGTCTAAAAGTCGTCAGTATACTTTTGATCATGAAGGAAAAGTTTGTTCGCGCTTCGTACTGTAACAGCGGTAATGAACGTCTATCGCAGACGCCTCCAACAGTGCTGCAGTTAGAAACGGACATATACACAGGCGAAGAAAATCTTATGGTAGCCGGGCTGTTCTTAAGAGCAAATCTATGGCCATTTTATTGCAGATTGATAAAAGATGGCGTCTGCGAAATGGCATCTGCAAATGCTCAGGGCAGTGGTTTTCGTGGTGACATTATCATTTGCATCCAGCTATCTACCGACCGAGTCCGATGCGTACGACACCGCTTGCTTTGTCCCTTCTTCTGAACGACCTCGTGACGGAGACAAGGTTATTGCCGCTGCAGCAAGGAATGCTATCATTATATTTGTTTTTGCTCTTAATTAATTAATCGGTTTCTTGACAAAGCAAGCCTTCATTTATTTGGAAAATTGCTTGCTGGTACGAGGTGAAGACCAGATGATGGACCAGTCGACACCTCGCACTGACCAATGTACAAACTGATCCACTTTAATACTTAGTGCTCAACTTACCGATTGTCCGAGCCACCCACCCACCGCTGGGCCTATACCGACACCCTAACTGACCAATTGAGCGACCCCCAGCCAACAAAAATAACAACGAAGTAAAATTTAATTTTTATGGTTCGAATCCATCTTGCAGCTTCTCGATTTTGAGATGTTTCTCCCTCCATATTTTGGTGACGTCTCTATCGAGTACCTGAGTTTTCCTAATGGATCGTGTGAGTATCTATCGAACTTCCTATGGCCTTAATATCTTGCCAATTCGGAGGTTGTTGAATGGGCATGAAAAGCCTAACTTACTGTGTACACATCTGCTTGCTGTGCACAGTGGAATCGGAATTGCGGCTTACATACATCGCAATAGACATTGCCGTGGATCCATATAGCAAATACATGTACATGTACATTTATCATTAGCTACTGGTTTAAACTCTTCTATTTGTATCAGGTTATGTTTTGTAAGAAAAGGTTGAGTTTTATTTTCAGGTGGGCTCGACTCATATGTGCTTCTGCGAGATAGATATTTTTTGATCCAGTTCAAGGATATGATTCAGCGTGAAGCAAGTGCATTTTTCAGCCATTGTATGTTGGACAACCAGCGAAACATGACACCGCCGTTCCGTTTCACAGTCATGTCATTGGGCCCAGGTAATCGCTCCGGGGATTATGTTTGTTCGTACAGTCTTCAGGGTAGCTACAAAGAAGTTGGCACGATGCAACAGTGACTTATACCCCCGAGGTCACTCCTTAATTCCCTAACGCGATAGATATTTTCGACATTTCCATGGCATCATGGAATGGGATGACAAACCAACTACGGATTTTACATCAACCCGAGGGGAAAGTGAAACCAGTCAAATGGTATTTACTTTTTTTTTCTGAAGTACCTTGTTATCAAGTCACACTCGGTTTTATACAAGAAATGTCCCTTTAAACCACCCACTCAATTATTCTTGAAAGGTCATTAGTCACCAGGCTGAAATGGGTCAGTGCAGGATGATTAAGATTGATTTTGGCTTTGTAATGCATATTTTTTTCTCTACTATAGAACGTGTGTCTCATATTTATGCGATCACGCTTAACACAGATATCTGAACTTTTTCATCCATGTAGTAGACTCTTCGAAGCTAGTTCCGGATGAGGAATTTAGCCGTCTTCCGGCTGAGTGGATATCAACAGGCGTTATCTTCCGTGTACATGTGGATAACATTACCGTGGGGCATCATGTTCTGAATTGCGACATACCGTATATGCTGAAGATGGAGCAATCTCAGTACAACCTAAACTTCACCCTGCTAATAAATGGTAGGTGACCGGTCTAAGACGTTCTAACGTAGACACTAGTTCTTAGCGATAAGTATGCTTCACAGATCAAATTGATCCTCACAATTTTGAGATTATCTTTAAGCCATTCTGTGTTTGAGAATGTAAAAAAAAATGGCCGAAATTTTGAAACCTACTTGGTTTCTTTTGGCGGACAGTGTCGTTGATGTTGAAACATTTTTTGGCAAGGATGAGGAAATAAATGTGGGTAGGCATACGTTTTGGCAATCCGTATAGCTCAGCTATTGCCCTCCTACAACATTGCCGTGTTTTCTTATTCATTTATTTGGAGAGCTTCCTCGTTTGATGCTCCATTGCTCATTCCAGGTTGTCCATCGGGTAAATATGGCGGGAGCTGTGACCAAAGTTGCCACTGCGCCGAAGGAGTGGAGTGCCACAGTTTCAACGGTGTGTGCATGTGTCCACTTGGACTGGAAGGGACTTCGTGTGACCAACGTAAGCCAGTGAATACTGCTGATAGCAGTACATACCTGACAGTATACGGTTACTGCAGTAGAAAGCACGCTAAGTTCAATACAAGATTATCAGCGATATCTACTGGAGAACCATTTTTTCATATATTGATGTATCTGCATTGTCGTTTTGGTTCCTCCGGTAACGTTTTTTGCTTTTGTTTTTAATTAAAGACCATTAAAAAATTATAGGTTTCGTTAATTTGCGTCAATATTGTAATGGAGTCCATCACAAGTTGCTGCAATATAATGCTGTCACAAAAGTCATCCAGTCGTAAGCCAAGAAACAAGCTATTCAAAATGAAATATGACATAACATTCCTTTCACATCGCTTATCCCGTTACTTAATACGATTGATCCACCCGATCCGACCACTCACCGCTACTCATAAGCGAGGCCTGTGCAGCAAAATAGCCTGCAAGAACTGGGATGCTAATAATTTATATTATCGTACGATGCAATACAGTGGCAGAAAGCTCGAACAAGCCTCACTTATAAGCGTGCCTTCTGTATTGCATCATACGATAATATATTAGCTCCACAGTTAGAGCATGGCCATTTAGCTGGACAGGCCTCACTTATAAGTAGCGGTGGGTTATCGGAACGGGTGCCTGATCATTTGAAATGACAGTTGTGGATAGCGTGGTAAAGGGACTCATGAATGGAGTTTTGATGACCGACTCGACCACAACACTGATTTGATCATGTTACATCTGGTCGTTTCTCTGTTTATACGGTTATTTCATTTTTCAACTTGAAGATAAGCCAGTGAACACGGTACAGACGCACCACATATTCGTCCCCTATGGAGAGACATTCACTCTGACGTGCACGGTGCACGGAATGCCATTACCTCGGGCGTGGTCGTGGACCAAAATTGGGCAGACCACGCCCCTGCTGGCTACCTCCCGTGAAGAGACGATGCCATATTCTCCAAGGTTAGTGTCTTATGCTTTTTTCTCTGTCTCTCCGCGTATGCATGCTTGCCTAGGATTTTGCTCTGCACGGGAATTGGCCGATTTTGTCCATCGCCACGTGTGCATTCGAAACCAACTTCCTGTTTCAGAAGAAACGGTCGGACCCAAAACGCAAACGTTGTTCGCAACTACGATATTCACTCAGCACTTTTGTGGGAGTAAACGAAAGCACTCATTCAGTGGGCTATGATACTGAAGCAGATGTAACTGTTCTGAACTATATCATTCCCAACCGAATCGTACTGCGCCGTACCGCACTGCACCGTACCGTACTGTGCGTACTGCAACTAAATCCCACTTAATGAGCACAGAGTATTAATTTTTTTGGCCAATTTTGTAAGTTCTTGTATAGAAATGTATCTTGTTGGCCACAGATTTATTCCCTTACTAACAAGCTTGAGCAGCACTGAGTAGTGTCGGCGCATAAAGCCAGTCAGTTTGCGTGGAATAGTGGTGAGCTCAAAGGATTCACAATGAAGAGGTGTATAAATTACCATTTGAAGTCTGCATATTACTCTTTCCAATGGTGGTAGTTTCTTCACTGTTTTCCAAAATTATCGGTTTTGAAAAATTATTTAACGCTTACCAGAAATATATGAGGCGTTAAGTTTGTGTTTATTCAATACTTACTTTAGCACAAGCCATCGACGCGTTGAACAAACGACATTATACAAACAGTGAATGTTTATGTGTGCGATGGTAAAAATACCTGACAATAAGTGAATGATGAAATGAGTCGAAGTCAAGTAGAATAGACCGTTTCATCTGTCACCAAATTCAAACTGGAGTACCATCGCACGAATATGAAACATTTATTATTTTTTTATACGACACATGTGTGAATCCTCGTCATCTGATTGGTTTATTTGTAGCATATTTTATTTTATAATTTTATAATTTAATGTTATGTAATGAAGGACCCACCAATCAGATGACGGGGTTAAAACACAATAGCACATCACTACCACGTTTCATATCGAGGCATTTTGCTTTAAAAGCCTTGTTTACAAATGGTGTTAGGTAGTCGGATCAGGTGCATATGTACCTTTCATCCTGCGCACATGCATTCCCACTATTTTGTCAGGTAAAACTTGACCCAAGACACTCTTTGGGTAAATATGGTTCCGGTCTACACTAGTTTAATTTCTTCAAATTATTTCTACCCTTCCGTGGCTTCACTACAGTCTCCACATAGAAATAAATCACTCAATGACACACCATCGAATAAACATTTTTTTTTCGAAAGCACCCCAAGTTTATTTGTAAAATCAATCTATAAGAGACAGCGTCGCTGAATGGGATAGAGCCATCAATTTCTTATCCATATGTACCTGGTACGTATTAACCCTAACCCCTTAGGGTGTATGTAAAATCATATTGAAATCGGAGGATATGGGACTGTTAGGGTTAAGCCTGTGTAGACTCAATGGGGTAGAACGGAGTTGTACATTGAGCGCGTCTTCAATTGTTTTTCTCAAACAGGCCCGTTGTAATCCAAAGTATTGTAGAGGCCAAAAATACATCTGTCAACGGCGCCTATGTGTGTGAGGTTATTGACTGGAATGGAACTCCACACAGACAGCTTGTTAATGTCACAGTCATGGGTAATGTTTGACAATTGTAAAGTAAAAAAGTACCAATGACATTTGTAAAGTAAAAAAGTACCAATGCCGAAATATATACGCAATTTTTTTTTGCGGTCCACCGTATTTGCTTATTGGGCAGAGGTGCCAATTGGGTATTTTAAGGCTCCATCCTGCTTCAGGTTTTGCCATTCGAAAGTCTTATAGAAGTACAAATGATCAGAATGGTAGGGTCATACTTGGAAATATAAAACTGTTTAAAAGAGTTGAGGTTGTGAGATGGACTGCAGTACATGACTTTTGGAAATGCAATCTTCCAACCTTAGCTGAAGCTTGCTGCTGTACTCTTTTGAATTCCACAGCCATTCCCGAGCCATTCGTGCAAGTTCCTCAGAACCAAACCGCCCTCGTTGGCAGCAACGTTACCTTCACTTGCAAGATCAGAAGGGATGCCGGGGTAATCCGATGGGTCAGAGGTCAGAAGCAGCTACCAAACGAAGCAGCTGCGATCAACGACCTACCTGGCCGGTTCCAGATATTTCATCCCTCGGAGGGAGTTTCCAGTCTTCGCATCTTGAGATTGGAGTTTGGGGACGAGGAAGTGTTCAGGTGTTATGCAGGACACACGTTCCGGGCACCAGACTTGATGTATGCAGAGGCAAGGCTCAAAGTTCAGTGTAAGCAAGAAATTACACGCATTCCTTAAACCTAAACAGCGGTATATCCAGGAATTTTTGGAGGGAGCTGGGCCAGAGATTTTTTTTTTAATATGTCATTTTTTCGGTGAGGCGGAAACGATGAAACATTACATGATCTTTTGACCCGTTTAAGGGTCAGGCTTCACAGGGCTGAGATATTCCGGGTCAGTCTGACCAGCAAGTTTTAAGAGTAAAGAAAAATATTATCGCCACATTGGAATAATTGCAATGTATTTTAACCTAAAACAATCCCCCAGCGGATCCCTATCCCGAGTGTTCCTTCAACAAGGTCACCAACACCCTATCGGGTCAGAAGCTGACTCTCCGGTGCCTGGTGATGCAAGCTAAGCCGGTACCCCGGCTGAACTGGGGAGTGCAAGGATTACATTCCAAGCCCATGACGTTCGAGCACCGCTCCGACGACGGCTTCTCCTACAACATTAACACCTCCTTAACCCTTGTACCTGGGCCAGATGATGATGGGAAGAGGTTGTCTCTCTCCCTAACCAGTCCAGCATGGACAGGAACCAGAGAAGTGGAGACATCACTGAATGTCTCATGTAAGATTTTTAATAAAGAGATGTTAAGGGCGTGGAGTTATTCTTTCTGGCAACACCAAGTTACTATGTCTTTAAAATTTCTTTGATAAACTGATTTAGCTTTAGGACGTGACACCGTGTGTTATGTGACTACCGCAGCCATTGAATAATTTGAAAATGCTTAAACTTATGGTCCTACCTTGTCTGATCATCGTCAGAATCGTTGCAATTAAATATGATGTTGTCTTACACTTTCCAGTCCTGCGACTGACCACAGATTACTCTAGGTTTTAGAATCAACCGAAGACAAGTTTAGAGGAAAGCCTAGAAACATACATAAGAAGGCGGTTCAGTCATCAATCCACTAATGTGGGATTCGAGTAAGGTTGACAGTCACTGCGCACTGAATGGGGTTTACTGCGTCATTTTATTGTAACCAGATTTTTAAGTTTCCTTCAGTGGCAGACTTCCCTTAGAACTTTGATTTGGTAATCCCAAATACCCCATCTTTATCCCATTACGGGCAATTCTCAATAGTGCACTATCAAGAGTTTGCAACGCGTTGGCCAATTAAAACGCGCAAAATCTGTCGATCCTTTTCAAACGCGCATTTGGTCGACAGATTTCGCGCATTTTGATTGGCCAACGCGCTGCAAACTCTTGTTGGCGCACTATTGTGAAACGGCCGTATTCCACAGATGCGCCCATTGTCGCAGTCAGCCCAGACCCAGTAACAGTTATCGAGGGCCAGGTTGTTACCGTCTTTTGCTCGGCCAAGGCCAACCCAGACCAGGTGGACGTTATCTGGACCCTTAGATCTTCCAGCAAGCCAGTCGCCTCTGTGTCCAGCAGTCTAACGTACACGTTCAAGAATATCGACATGGAATATGACAGGGCTAACCTGACATGTTCCGTCGGAAACACCATTGGCAAAACTGAAAAGACTGTGCAGATCAAAGTAACAGGTTAGCATTTTGCTCGAGAAAGACGCCTAAGTAAAAAACTTTAAGTTGTATGAAGTATTAATCGCAGGGAATGGGATAATCAGTGTTTTATTCGCACCTTTGAATAACCTCAGCTTCTTGGTTATAACAATTTGCACTGTGCAATGTCGTGTCGTAAAGGGCACAGTTCATCTAAGTTTACCCTCCAAAATACAGCCAATGTATGTATAACATAGGGGTTGTGTCTTTTCACCCAAAGAAGGCCATGAAACACAAGTGTTAATCTTGGTTCATAGTATGTCTTCACCAAAATCGACTTGATGACAGTCCATTCTTTGAAGTTTCGTCAAAGTTTGACAGTTCAAACAGGTCGTGGTACCCATCTAAGATTTGGAAGATCTCAGCAATAAACCCTTCTTTGTAAATTCCAGATCGCAAGAAAAAAATTGTCTCTTATTGACCATACAGGCAATAGCATTTCCATCGCAACAAAGATAGGCTTCAGTGTATCAGGAGCTGCGTGTTTTATGATGCTGCTTATCGCAAGCGTCGTCTCTCGTCGCTATCGCAAGGAAATCAAGCTTTGGTGGGCTCAAAAAGCCGGAAAAACAGGAGGTAATTTAGTAAGCGAAGTAGAGTCTTCTTTTGGCCATCGTGGTCTTCCTAGAGTCTTCGTATTGTTTGTCGGAACTCAGAGTAAAATAAGTGTGAGACCTCAACGTGTTCCGGCCATTTCCAAGGATGTGGTTAGTACAATTTTGCAGATCACATGTGAATGTTCTATCAGCAAAAATAAAACACTCAACTGATGTTATCAAGATACCACCTGTGCAGAGTAATCCCAACAACCTATTGCATTTAAAGCTGCGCAGGTCATACATGTACAGGCTTGGTACTGTTGAATATGAAAAGCGAACAGTGTTAAAAAAAACATTATTATTCGTATCTTATGTCACCCATTGTGATCTATCTTGCATGTGTTTTTAAAGACTGTCTGGTATCACGGTAATGCGGTACCCCTTGAACGGTCCACGTGCCAGGGCAACAGGTCTTTCAGCGACCGTGGTGGCACTCAATGTGTTTAAACTTTAGCAGTGCCCTCACGCCTATGCCTATCCACTTCAGTGGGATCACCAAGTTACTGCAATTTGCCTTGCTTAGGGACACCAAAGACATAAGTCCTTGTCTCTTCGAAGCCATAGCAGGTAGTAGACGGTAGTACTACCAGTCCATGCGTAGTACGAGACACTTTACATGTATTTAAAATCACTCCTTACCCCTCCCATTCCACACTGCTTTCAATGTAAACATTATTAAAAGGCCTTTATTGTGAATTGATTTCGAAGATAAAGATTTTGACGTGTTCATCTCCTACAAGAGCAGCAGCCCTGACGAGGAGTTTGTGATGCACGAGCTGATCCCTCGACTGGAGCAGGCTGGATACCGTGTCTGCGTCCATTACAGATACTTCCTGCCTGGCAGAAGTAAGTTCCATTACTGCTTTCTCGACCCTGAGGGGAAGTTTATGGTGAGGAATCGTACAGCCAACTGATATTTCTTGAAAGTGTCAATGGGTTTATGACAAAACCTTTCTCGAGGTCTGTTCCCACATGCAGGTCTGCCACAATTGGGGTGGTACTTCATTTGGTTGGTGGGATATTTGCAACTTAAAGAGTATTTTTTAGCGTTTATACCATTATGCTGTGTCTCATTTACCGACTCTTTGTTACAGGTATCATTGAAAACATTGCGGATGCGGTCCATCGTAGCCGTAAGACACTCCTCCTATTGTCTCCAGGTTTCATCGAAAGCGAGTGGTGCTGCTATGAGTTCCAGGCTGCTCTCTCCCAGATGTTACACCTCCAGTCGGACCTCATACCCGTCATCTTTGAGGACCTGGGACCCCAGGAGAATCTGTCCTCAGATCTGCAGACGATACTGAGGACACTGTCCTACGTCACCTGGCCCGGTGCCATCCAGCAGGGCCGCAACCAGACCGACGCTGACCTGGAACGCTTCTGGAAGCTGCTGTGGCAGTCGCTCCCACCGATCCGTGTTGGACAGGACGAGCAGGCGGTTGGTACCGTAGAGCTGGATTTGCAGATCAATCAGGAACAGCGTGCTAGAATGGATGGATTTGAACATGACCACTTGGCTGGAGATAGGGCTTTTTTATTTTCTTATTGACGAGGCTGTGACGAAGACCCGATTACTTGATGGGAAGTTGTGCAGTGGGAACACTATTTTGTTTCAACGTTGAATATTCTACCAGCGTTTTTAACGTTAATACAACGTTATGTATCCCAGAGTGATTACAGTGCAGACGAATTGCATGTATTTTACATCCCCCTGGTATACAACATTACACCGAGATTGGTAGAGGATTGAATAAAACCCAATGTTGTCATGTAAAAGCAAGTACATGTAATGTCAATCAAAAGAACGGGACAAACACAGGATGGCTGTGCAAGAACTTCAACAACCTTTAGTCACTAGACACGCCCTTTTAAACACACACACTGCACTATGAGAACCATTCAACCTTTAAGCAATGAACCAATACCAAATCAGTATCTTAGTCAACCGCATACTTCTGGATTATCCGGTTCGTAAGTGACTTCGTTATACACGCGGAAGCGTCACTGATTGCAGGCTCTCATTGGACAAACGTGGTTCCATCATCTCTGTGTGCAGTGGGCGATGTTGAAACTGCAGTGACGTCACACTTATGAACCCGATTGTTACCATTTTTCAGGAATTCGTCAGGTATTTACTAATTCAAATCACACAATATACCACACCCATGCAATATCTGCATGGATTGAGATTGGTAACATTTTCCCATAGGTGCACAGAAAACTGCAACGGCTAGGCATACCCTAGAGTCCGTATTAGGACTTCAATGTGTCTTAATCCACCTAAGCCCACAGGTGTTCCTTTTATAGAGCGTTTTGGATTTTCAGTTTATATCTCCCTTTTTTCTGTGCAGAGTATACTCTAACTTTTGTTTCTAACTAAAGTGGTTAAAAAAGTTCATTTGCTCTTGTATTTTGTGCTAGGCGGCCCAAAAAAAATTTAACGGTGAACAAGGTCGATTTACCAATTTTTCCTAGAAGTCTTTGACATCATATTTTGAATTTTGCACATGCTGCCTATCGATATAAATCAGTATCACAGCAGTTGGTTAAACAGTATAACACTGAATAGAGTATAGACTTACTTACAGTAAAGTGTAAAACTATGTAGCTTATTATGTCTCTGACATAACTGTAAAAGATTTGATCAAGTGTAATTCTTTCCTCGGCTTTTATTTTTAAATTGACTAGTTTCGATCACATTATTTGAATATATTGGACGCTTAAAGAGCACCTCTATGTTAAACGTGTTTTCTCTGACTTTATCTGTTCAAAACAATATGGAAGCATCCAAATCGAACGTAGTGATTCTTTTTTCTTTGGAGTATAACTGTAACAAGCTCAAAAGGGCTGCTTTAATGTTCATGCCAAGTTGCGAATTCTGAAGGCAGATTGCGTTGCCCCCCCCCAAAAAAAAAACAACGAGAAACGAGGGGAACCTCGATGTGGTTGTAGTGGATACCCTTGTGCGTGTCAAACAATGGCTACATGCACTGTTTGGCATACACAAGGGTTTATCCACTACAGGGGGCGAGGGTTCCCCTTGTTTTCTCTGTTTTCTCCGAATGACGCAATCTACATTCAGAACTCGAATATTGACATGAACAGAATAAAAGCCTTTTTTTGTTTATTATAGGTGAGCTCTGAAGACACAGGACACTGCGTTGGATTTGGATGCTTTAATATATATTTGAGTAGATAAAATCAGAGAAAACATGTTTTCCTTAAAGGTGCTTTTTGAGAATTCACGTTCAGATTTTTTTGTGTAGTGTTTGCTCACCTTTTGAGAAGTAACGGAGTACTTACCGCAGTATATTGATTTGCTTCTTTGAAGTTTTGATGTCTGAAAAAATGTGTCGTGCATTCGGTGTGTGAAAACATGTAGATTGGTAGAGTAATATCTTGTCTCTGTTGTAATGATCATAGGAAAGATAAAGTCGCTTTACATGAATAAGCAAAAACTTATATTTAGGTATCTAATGATTTACAGCATTTTACGGATAATTGTGTGATCAAAGTTTCCAGTTAAGTCACGAGTTGAAAGAATATCGTAAATATGATACACGCTTCAGGTTATGTAATTGTAATGCATTTAATCATAAAAACTGTCAGATTTAGGTTTAATATTCACGGAGGTTGGCGACTCCGGCCTCTACTCAGTTGACCGAAGGTTCATCAGTCTGAAGACTCGATGTCTGAGTATATTATGTTGCCGGGGCAATCCGTTAGAAAATAAACAAAGGTTCTTCCCAAACATCTGTTGCAATGGTCCAATAGTTCCGTAATCCATAGTTTGTTAATCCAAAGGCTCAGTAGTCATGAGTGAGAATCTACATGTATTATTCCAAAAATACAGTAGTCCAAAATGAACATAAAGTTTATTTGATCAAAGTTTCATTATTCAAATGACCCCCGTGCAACACCATCTGTAGAGATTAAGATTGGGAACGCTTTCCATACGAGCTAAAAACATTCGAATGACTCCACAGGAGTGGAGATAAAAGCAGTGAAAAGTATATTTGCGAACCTTGTAGATATCCTTCTTTTCCTGGAAGGCTAGAAAGTAAAAACTTTTTCTCTCATATTCATTTGTTGTATTGTGTTGAATTGTATGTGACTCAAACTAACTAGAGTTGAACACTGGACTAGACAGGACTACACATTGTGATGCGACTCGACCTCTTTACCTAATGACTTGACTCGAGTAACTAAATTAAAATGACGGTTTCAACTTGCGACACACCATTTTCTAACTTGTTCCAAGTCTGCAAGACAGTTTTGTAATCAGCACATCTGAAGACCATCACGAGATCTGTCCGAATTCAAGTCACAAGCTATTTAAAATGAAACCCAACAAAAACATCCGTTATCACTGTTCACCTTGTAACTTGTGGCTTTCTTATATGCAACACTGCCCTACACTAAACAGAGTCACGTGACTAGTTTCCACCCATGCTTCAGTTACTAAGAATAAACGAACACAAGTGGATGCTTGTCGAAATTTCTTCAGCTCAGAAAGTTGGGTGTGCACATTCGTGTTAAAACTCTTCCGCAATGAATTTCGAGGCTTTATTATTAATGGCAAGGGAAGTTCACAGAAAATCTAACTAAAAAGGACAAGGCCTTGGAACTTTTAAATTATATGCAGCTGTATCCGTTAAATTGGGAACGAGGGTGTGGCGACCACACATCCCGGCAAGTAGAGGTGTCTTAATGGAAGTGTGCATACTCAAAAAAAAAGTGTAATGGCTACAGGAAATTTTGAGTATACGCATAGATTACTTCTTGAGTATTTCCTGAGTGTGTCTATATACTTGAAATCTCCTGAACTTGAGTAACTTCAAAATCGTAGATTTCAGTGTGGCTGTCAAGGCGTTGCAGTCACGTCTGATGGGTGTTATGAAATTTTGAAAGAACAAAACCAAAAAGAGCTCGTGCTCACTTAACAAGTCACTGACAAACCGCAGTAGAGCTGGTTACAATTTATACATCTAAGAATGGAGGTCTCACTGTTTGCATTCAGCCCAGTGACTGTGGAAACAGATTGAGGGAAAGACGGCGACTTCAAGAAAACTGTTCATACAGACAAAATGTACAATCTTATTTTGTCTTCTCACTTCTAAAATTGACGTCATCGAATGCTCTTGATGTAAATTTCCGTCTGAACAAGAATACAATCACAATATAGCGAGGAGAGCCGAGAAGTTAGCAAGTTAGGCTAAAAATGCGAATGAAACGCCCTAGAGGGTAGTTTTAGTGAACGACAACCAACACAGATTCCAGAAAATGCAACGACTCTGCATGTAAATATTAAAAAGTCTTAGAAGTATGGGACACTGCTAAAACGCATCTGGTGAACTAAATTTGAATAAAATCAGGTACATTGAGTTATCTGGTCGCACATAAACATAAGAATTGCATTCCCCATACTAAAAACACAAAAATATGAACGACTCAAAGAAATTCTCGGAAATTGCCAAATGGTTAGGCTCGTGGTTATCAGATCGTCAGACGGTGGGTTCGAATCCCATGGGTGACTTTTATTTTCCCAAAGCTTGCTGTCAGTCAGTAGCTATAAGAGATTTTAATTCACCCCCGCCAAATACCAACAGTACCTTTTCCCACGGGGTAAGCTT